AAGAAGAGATGGATGCTCTCCATAAAAACCATACTTGGGATCTTGTTCCTCATCCTCCAAAAATAAATATTGTAGGATCGAAATGGGTGTTTAAAACCAAACTCAAGGAAGATGGATCAATAGATAGATATAAGACTAGATTAGTAGCTCAAGGTTACTCTCAAATAGAAGGGGTTGACTATGCAGAAACCTTTAGCCCCGTTGTCAAACCAGCAACAATTCGTTTAGTTCTTAGCATTGCTGTCACATCCAACTGGCTCCTACGTCAACTAGATGTCAAAAATGCCTTCCTCCATGGGATTCTCAAGGAACAAGTCTACATGGCTCAACCTCCAGGTTTCAAAAATCCTCACCTTCCAAATCATGTTTGCAAACTAAATAAATCTATCTATGGCTTGAAACAAGCTCCTCGTGCTTGGTTTGAGAGGCTTTCAAATTATCTTATGAAACTTGGATTTAGTTGTTGTCATTCAGATCTTTCTCTCTTCATATTTAGGCATAACAACATCATAATTTTCATGCTTATTTATGTTGATGACATAATTTTGACTGGGAACCAACCTACTGAACTTCAAAATCTTATCTCCAATCTTGGTAGCGAATTTGCCTTAAAAAATCTAGGAACACTTCGTTACTTCCTTGGCATTGAAGTTCTTCATACTCCTCAAGGTCTCTTCTTATGTCAAAGCAAATATGCTAAAGACATACTAATCAAAAATCACATGCTTGAAGCATCTCAAATTGGCACTCCTATGGCTGTATCTACCTCTGACTATCCTTCTGATAATGACCAAACTGATGCTACAAACTATCGAAGCATAGTTGGATCACTGCAATATTTGACTCTCACTCGTCCAGATCTTACACAAGCTGTTAACCRTGTTTGTCAGCAGCTCCAACATCCCACTGAGAAAGACTTAAGGGCTGTAAAACGCATTCTTCGTTATATAAATGGAACTTTAAATTATGGAATTCCAATTCTTAAACATAGTAATCTAATCTCTATGTTTTTTGTGATGCAGATTGCGCCGGATGTTCCACAACAAGGCGCAATACTACTGGCTTTTGTATCTTCCTTGGATCCAATTGCATCTCTTGGTCCTCCAAGAAACAACCTACAGTAGCTAGATCAAGTGCGGAAGCTAAATATCGAGCCATGGCTAGTGCTACAGCTGAACTCACATGGATAACATTCTTACTTCGCGACTTGGGTATCCCTCTCTATCGAACACCACAACTATTTTGTGACAATATGAGTGCGCTCCATTTGTCTGTAAACCCAGTGTTCCATGCTAGAACCAAGCACATTGAACTTGACTATCACTTTGTCAGAGAAAAAGTGGCTAATGACTCCCTAGTCACTCAATTTGTTCCTTCTGGCAAACAATTGGCAGACATTCTTACAAAACCATTGACTAAAGCGTCTTTTCGGCATTTTCGACACAAACTTGGAGTTCAAGCTGCACCACACTCTAGTTTGAGGAAGGATATAAATGCAGACAGCAAATCAATGCCAAATGAGCAACAAACATACACCAACTAGACGGTTACTAAACTCATAATTCTAGCCACCTTTGGAGCATTTGTATTAATTGGTAAATCCTTTTATTTATGGCATTTGTATCTTTCATAATTTAGGCCATAAAGGGATTATTACCRTTGRTTTATCTTACCTTTCTTTATCCTAAAATCAAGTTCTAATTGTTGTCAATTACCTCCTTAATTGACAGCCACCCCTGCCGTCAAATCCTTTCCTAAATTGACAGCAGGTATAGGTGATATTGGYGTATAAGATTTATATAGTTTTTGTCTTTGAAAAACATGTATGAGAATTATTTCAATTGAATCAAGGTTGAATTTGTTTTACTTCCTTTCCGATCAAAGTTGATAGGTGTTACCTGAGGGAAATGAATTATGGTCGGAAGAATGAGTAGCTTTGGATTGATGAATACAAAGATAACAAGCAGTAGCAGAAGAGACGAGAAAGAAAAAGAAGAAGCTGAGAAACCAAGCCATTTTGTAAAGAAATTGGTACCTACAAGAAGAAGAAAGAAGATGGTTATATATTAGGCCATCCATTGATGCAAAAGAATTGGTAATGTATTGGCGCATGAGACGGCAAAGTTAGTGGTGGAGGAACAAGACGTGAATGAATGGCCCGAGTTTTTGCCTTCTCTATCATTCTTTTTTTTTTTTTTTTTTTTGGGTAACTAGCTTCTTCATCAGTTAGTAGCTAGGGTTATAATTTATAAGTGTAATTTTTCTTTAGTTTTTTGTTGTCTCACTGTAAAAAAAGAAAAATAATAATAGTAAATAAATCTTAAAGGCTATATAATCGCCTAGGTGTGCCAAAATTTACTTGGTAATTTTTACGTGTGCGTGGGATTTGGATTACCAACTTGGATAAGAATTGAAAAATATGGGATGATTTATTGTAGTAAAAGGTTAAAGGAACGATTTGGATTTGATTTAAGGTTATTAATTATTATTATTTGGCTTAATTAAAAAAAATAAAAATAAACTTGAACTTTTCCCTGTTGTTTCAATATTACCTTTTAATCAATGTTTTAAAAATACTTATTTTGATTCTCAATGAAAAGTTAAATGGCAAAGTAATACCTTCTTCCAAATTTCTCATTCAAAATTATAGAAAGAAAGAGGGGCCCAACCAGGATCGAACCARTGACCTCTTGATCTGCAGTCAAATGCTCTACCACTGAGCTATGGACCCTTATTAATATAAACTTCAAAATATTAGCTAATTCTCCTCCAAATGAATTTTGCAAATGTTTATGAAAAGTTAATATTGGTATTGAAACTTTTGAAATGAGCATAAGGCTACATTTTAAAAAAATGGCAAAGTTGAAGGATTTTTTTTTAATTTAGATTTTTTTAATTTACAATTCAATAATGGTAGCAATGGACTGTTGAACCATTAACTTTTTAGATTAGTAATATTTATTTTATGAATTGAGCTATGTTCAAATTGATTCTCTAACAAAGTCAATATAGACCATTTTCATTTTGGGTTTACTATAGGTATACTAAAACTATATTTTAAAATTTTGGTTTACAAATTAAATTTGGGAAGAAAAAGAAAGGAAAATCTAAAAGAAATGAATTCCATTAGTAGAAACATTTTTTTTAAAATAGAAATTAATTCCATAGCTCTGTTCATTCAAATTAGATTAAAAAAAATATCAATAGAAATGAATTCCCAGAAGTAGAAACATTTTTTTATGGGTGAAATGTCAAAGTTGTGTTCAAGTTTGCTTGATTATATATATCTTTTTAACTCTTCTAGAATAGCTTTTAATTCATAAGAAATATATTTTTTTAAGGTTTTGTTTAGTAACGTTGTCATTTTGTAATCAATTATAAATTTTGTGTTAAAATTTTACAAATGGAAAAGATTTACCACTTTTCAAAAAGATATACAAAAAAAAAAATTTGTATTAAAATTTTACTAATAGAAAATATTTGCCCCTTTTTAAAAAGACTAGCCAGCAACACGAACATTGATTGTACGTGAAACTTATCATTTTATTACTATTATGAAGAAATTTTGTCATTTAAATACAAATATCTCACTCAATTACTCTAATTTAAGTTCTCTTCGTAAATAATATCTCTCAAAGTTTATGAAAATATATATATATATATGTATATCTCAATTTTTACAAATTCTCTCTATTTTTAAATACTAATTTGAGATAGATTGGGTTTGGCTTAATAAGTTACATCCCAAAATAATAAAAATACAACTTTAATTAAAAATAAATAAAATAATTATTATTTTTGGTGAAAAAAATCACAATTAAAAGAATTCTCTTTGCGCTCTTGACTTTTATGTATCGATTAGCATAGTCGATGAACCAACATATATTGTTCTTAATTAACTACTTATTTTCTGGATTATGATCATGGTATTACATTTTAATGTTGAGTTTGTTTAATACCGAGTCGAGTTGATTCATTTGAAAACGAAAGGCAATAGTGAGAGGAAGGTGAAACCCTAAAAAAATATTCTCTACGCTTCAGTCGAAATGAAATTAATAGCGATAAACATTGATTTTTTTCATAATGTTGTAAAAATAATTTCGGACATTGTATATGCATAACTCAAGGCATCACTTTTTAAAAATAAATAAATTAAGCCAACATTAGCTTATCTCAATGGTAATTGACACCAGTTTTGACAAGAGGTCATGAGTTTGAATCCCCCACCTCCATTTGTACTAAAAAAAAATTAGAAGCATCCATGTTATCCAACCACAAGAATGATTAGATTATGCCTTATCACGATTTGATCCACCGTCGTTTCAACTCAAGGCACTCTCCAATTTCTCCTGAATAATGATGAATTTCGAGAAAGCCAACGGCTACTATCAACTTCAATTCAATTTTAACTCTTCTATATCTTCGCTATCAATTCTGCCCTTGATTGCCCTTACGCAAGCTATCGTTTCCAAAGCAGGAGAATAAACGCCAAAGAGACCATTTTTCAATCAAATTTGTTCAACCGTCTCTTGATTTTTTGTTGCCAAGAGAAAAGTGAGGATAACTATTTATACATGGAGGGTAATTAAAGAGGATGATGAAAGGATTGGGAGAGGGTGAGGTGAGTATCTCTCTCTCCTCCAAATTGAAACAGAACACTTATGGGAGATAATGGGGGAAGTTGAATATAGAGTTTGACTGTTTTTGGGAACTTAATGGGCTTATGCCTATTAAAAAATAAAAAGAAAAAACCTTGTTGTCCTCGAGATAATAGTGAAAAGGATTAAAATAAAAGGGCAAAGTTGGGATAAAAAGTTTCTCCTAATAACCACCTTATATATAGTATAGATATACAAAAAAACACGATTTGAAAGGACAATAATTAAAATAATAAAAGTGGACCAAAATAAGTACGAATATTTAAGTGAAAAAAACTTTTATTATTTATTTAATAATAGATCAATATTACATTGAAATTCAACAGCTTCTTCATTTATTTTATATCCATGGTGCATCACCACATTCCCATGGAGGGCAAAACTCTTGGGCAACATCCTTAATTTGGATTCCCATGTCATAAATCAGTTCACTTTTCCAATCAGCAGGAATCACATTATTTGCCATTATCCACTTCTCTTTAAATCCTGAAGTTATGATCTTCATCCATAGCTGCAATGCCCCTTCTGGCACTGCGCTAGTCTCCCAAATAGCCCCATATTTCCTCTTTAGATAGCTCCAATTTGAAGAACCAACCTACAAAGATTCAATATAGTCAAATCAAAATATTGCGCACTCGGGTTTCATGAATTTCACTTTTCCCGACACTACAATTCATCATTGTGATAGGAGACCTAGCAAAGATTTATAATATACATTTGGTTTTGAAATGAAACCCTATGAATATTTATATGGTATCAAATCCCAAAAAATTCAAATGAAGATTCGATCTTTGGGTTACCTGAACTATCTTAACAGCTAATATTTCTGTCTGGCCACCTTGATACAAGAACTTGATGGCAAAGTAGTATGGTGCTTGGCTCCAATTTTGTATTAAGATTGTCAAGTTCTTATTTTTGTACTCACATGGTATCCTGCATCACTAAAACTAGTTTACTTTTTGAAGCCACTATATGAAGAAAACTTTCTTACTATAAAATATTGAGAAATTAGTCCCACCTCTTATATTCTACGTCCACAGTTCCAAGATTCAAAAGCTTTTGGATTTTGCCCTTTCCAGCCATTGAAGAGAAAGCTTTCTTACTGAGAACAAAATCTGTTCTGTTATCATGATTTTGATCCGTTAAAACTAGCTTTGTTCCTGCTTTTGTGCACAATCTTCTATCCTTGCACCTTATCTACAAAATTAACAATTTTTAAAGAAAAAATTCAGATCAAATTAGTTAGATACGAGGATAATTTGAAGCTATATATATACTTTATAGCAGGCACCACAAGCAGCTCCTTGTCTGTAAATAGAAGGCACAGCTGCTGCAAAGTAGTCTTTGGAAATCTCTGACGCCCAAGAACCATACCTACATGCCCCCCATCCATCTGCACACACCATTACTTTTTTGAGGAATTTAAATCATAGTGGTGAGCAAAGAGATTTTAAAAACCAATCCGTTCATGACAGAACCGATGTTGGTCGGTTCCTTGGTCTGTCAGTTCAGTTGTCGATTCTCATTTTTCAAAGCTGATAAGTCGGTAGGTGGTCATGTACTCCCAAATTCCGACCAACCGACCGACAATAATATACCTATTAAATATATATAATATTTTTTAGTGTTTTTAGATAAAAAAAATAATGAAAAACATTATATACAAGAGAAATGGAATAGAAATGATGAAAAAGAAGGGAATAAATTAAAAAACAAAATTGAAAAAAAAATAGCATTGTCGATTTTCCGACAAACCAACCGACCCAACCGACAGCCGGGCCGGTTCGATTGGCGCTAATTCTTGCAGGTAAGCTGTCAGTTTCGGTATTAGGATAGGTCAAAACCCGACTCCAACCGAACGATGTTCAGCACTGTTAAATCATATAGGTGTTGAAGAAGAAGTTTAAAAACAAAACAAAAAGTCCAATACAATACAAAATTTGAATATTTACTTGAAGTGGGTGAATCGCCAGAATAATAAGTAGTGGTAGCTTGATGAATACAGCGATCACAAGCATTAGCAGAAGAGGCGAGAAGTAAAAAGAGAAAGCTGAGAAGCCAAGCCATTGTGTGCTTGTGCGTTTAGTTGTGGGAAAAGAACTAAGATGGATGATGCTTTTTATAGGGGTTTCAAAGTTGAAAAAAGAGTGGATAAAACCTCAGCTTCTCCTAGGACTAAAGAGACAAATCGGAGAAAAGTTGTGCTGTGGGTAATTTTATTTTCCAAGCTGACTTTTGGAAATATGTTTTAGTATTATTAGGATTTGAATGCCTAGTTTGGATGAACAAGAAAACTATGGCTTATTGATTAAATAACAAGACTTGATTTAATAAGTTAGTTTATTCTTTTTATTGATCCTTCATTTCGTAGATGAGTCAGCGGTTGAAAAGTTGGTTCAACGATATCTATCATTGATGGTGTAAAGGGTCTGTAGATGCTCATCGAGCTCATCATTTCCCCAATCTTCCCTATAAACTCCTTGCTCTGCCAAGATTTTAACACTTAATTTTTTTCATATCATTTAAAAAATCTTTGTTGGTAGAATTTTGCCAAGATAGTAGTTCTTAAAGAAATATGTAACAATAAGCGAGTTTATTCTTTTTATTTTTGAGATTCCAATGAGTTAATTCTTTTTATTGATCTATTTATACTATCTTCTTTCCTTATTAGTTCTTTTCAGAACCATTTTTTAAAGAGACAATTGCAACTATGGCAAAATAATTTAGTAAAATAAGAAAAATAGTAACCACATTTGGTTTTTTCAAACATATTTTTTTCAACAAAAAACGGAGGTTTGATTTAAAAATTACAACTTTACCCTAGATATACATCTATAATATATTTGCAATATATCTAACTACTGATATATGTCTCTAATATACCAATGATATAATAATGATGTACAATTAACTTACTGCTCATAAAAATATGATATCCACTAAACTTCTAACATGGCTTACCACTGATACACGTATGATAACCATTGATTTACCAAGTCGATACAACATTTATATATCTGTGATATATACTTGATATGTGCCTAATTTACCATTGATATACCACTGATATAACTATGATATATACTGGTATAACTTCTTATATGTGATTATATATGATTTACCACTAATAACACTGATATATATTTGATATATATTTAATATGCTTCTAATTACCACTTATATATCTCTTATATAACAATGATATCTACTAATATAACTATGATACATGTGTGTTGATATAATACTATTATATCCATTATTTTTTCATATGAAGAGATAATGGTGCACAAAAAAAATTGAAATATAAAATTATTGTATAAAAGGTTTATGTGGATCATGTACGTCATAAAAAAAAGTTAAAAWTTTGATATACTTTATAAATTTAAACGGCTGATATCTCTTATATTTAGTATCTAATTAATTAATATAGAATAAATGGTAGTGATATAGTAATCAACATTTTTAATAATATTAGTATATCAATCAACAAATTGCAATAGTAAACTAGAATTTATAGCAGTTGATATACYACTGAAAATTAAACATTTGTTATACKTTATATTTAATATATCWGTTGCAAATATRTTTAGTATATCATAAAYTAGAGGTATATCAATTATATATATTAGAGGTATAATACATATATCCAATAATGTATATCATTGGTATATCTGATAATGTATATCATGAGTATATCTGAAGTATATCAGAGATACATTCGGATGTATATCAGATATAGATTAGATGTATATCATATACAAATATACATTAGATATATATCAAATATAGATATACATTGGATGTATATCAGATATCGTAAGGGTAAAATCAGAATACTCAAAAATCCGAAAAAAATTCAAATATTTTGTTATATTTGAAATTTTGAAAAGTTAGTGACATTTTTTAAAATGCATAATTTTTTTTTTCTGCTCCCCACAACAATTACCTTGTTTTAAAGGTTGGGGCCAAAAATGTATTTTACCTTTTTTGTTTTTTTTGAATAAACAAGTTTGTGAAAAGCTAGAAACATATACCAATTACTGTTAAATTAAGTTCATGTTAGCGAATTAATTTATTTATTGAAAACAAAATGATTATTATAATCCTCGTTCTACTTGATAATTTGGCATATTTGATTTAGGAAAAAAACAATAAGTTACTTTTAATCCTTGAATAATTTGTTAAATAGAATTCAGCAATTATAAGAATGGTTCAACTTTTGAAATTTTACTATTTGTCATAATTTCCTTTTAAAAATCGTGCCAGCTGCAGTAGCTATCTGTTTTTGACAACAGATTCTTTTAACCTGGAAATCATAATATTTTTATTTTATGGGGTCAACTTTTTAAATTATGAATTTTGTAGGAAAATCAGGGGGCAGTATTCGTTGGTCAAAACTTAGTGGCCACTCAATCCTACGGCTGACACACGGTTACCATATTTCTTTGACTCGATTCTTTGATATTAGACCATTGGATATGTTATCCAAGATTTTACTGACTCTCTCCTATTCACCTAAATATGTTAAATAAATAAATAAGTAAAAACTTAAATCTAACAAGTTTTTAAATGCATTTTACCATGAACATAAAAATATATTATAGTAATTTTCTATTGGTTTTAAAATAAGAAAAAAAAATTTATTTGGTAAGAAATTTGGGTACACTACTTATCTATTAAATAAAATATAAATAAATTAATAAAAATATGTCAAATCATGAAGTGATTAGGAATTTTTGTTAACTCACACCTTTTGATTAGAGATAGTTAACTATTATGAGGTGCACGAAGGCCATTAGAAAAATTTATCAACTTGAACTCAAATGTCTTACCACTCTGCCACACCTTAAATGTAAACATTGTACTCTTTTATAAAAACAAAAGTTTTAATTTATTTTTTAAACTAAAAAAAAACCTACAAATTTTGTTAAATTAAAAAAAATTATGTATTTTGAAATTAAAAAGATTTTTTCAAGAAAATCTTTTATTTTTAATTAAAAAAACAATTTTACTTAAAACAAATTGTTAAGATCTTCTTAAAATGATACTCCTCGTTTAAAAAAAAATTCATTCTCCTACCAACTTATACAAATGTTACAAGATAAGATTTTATTTTAAAATAAACCCCTATAAAACAATTTTCTTTAAATCCTCTATTTTTTTAAATCCCTGCAGCTGAAATTCTCTTTCTAAAAATAAATAAAAAAAATAAGAAAACAAAATTAAGAATTTTGAATGGAAATTTTAAAGAATCCAATTTAATTTTAAACAAGATTTAGTTTATAAAAACTCTTATTATTTTTTTTAACTTACAAAACTTTATTATTTTTTTTAACTTACAAAACTTTAATGCAAAATCTTTTATTTAAATGAAATTAACTTTTTGTTTACTTTATTTAAAAATTATTTTATTTTAATTTAAGAAAAATTATCTACATTATTTTTTAAAACTTATTTTAAAAAGTTTATTTTCTTTAAAAGGAAAATTTTTATGTAGGGATATACTGTGCAAAGATTTTTACCACGAATGTGTTCGTCGTGTTAGAGTGGGTCGCTGGACTCTTCGTCGTCGTCGGTCTATCATCGGAGGTTGGTCTCAAGGCAGCAATGGAGGTCGTGAGGTGTGCACCGGGGTCTTGTTGTGTGTTGCTTGAAGCGCCTTTAGAGACTAAGGGGAAAAATAAAAAATAAAAAATTTTCTTCACCCAAATTATTCTTCTGTGCTCTCTGTTTTTTCCCCTCCCCTCTGTGTGTTGTGTGCCCTCTAAATATATCAAAAAAATAACAGTAACATGGGTGAGTCGAGTAAAACCAGAGAAAAAGAGGAAAGGGAAAGCGTTCGGTTTTGACGAAGGAAAAATGGGAGGAGAAACCAAATGTTTATTTTTAACTAAAACAGAATCTAAATTTTTTTAATTAAAAAACTTTTATTTAAAACAAAATTATATAAATCAAATCAAATCTTTTTATTTCTTTTATTTTAATATTAAATCAAATTCTTTAAAACAAAATCTATTTTTTTTTAATTTAATTTAAAATTTAGCTTATAACCAATAATAAAGTAATCTTATAGTATTTAATAAAATAAAAATGAAATAATTAAAAATAAAACAAAAATAAAGCTGGACCAAATACGGTGTCTACAATAGACTTTCTCTTATCTCGTCCCCATACTTTTTTACTTACAACTAAAAAGGATGGACAATTTAAAATATAGCTAACTCGTTAAGGCAAATGTTTTTAAATTTAAGTTAGAGTATATATACTCATATAATAAAACGTGACGGAATAAATTTTGGTATTAAACTTATCTAAAAATACAAACACAAGATCTTTTTTTTTTTTTAAGGAAATTCCGAACACAAGATCTTTAAGTAGGCTCCATATCCTTCGATAAAACAGCTCCTTGATATATGTGTTTGTGGAGGGAGAGAGAGAGCTGAGGAGATTAATATCCAAATTATAATGTTGGTTTTGTTGTAATCAAAGATATAACAATTAAAATTACAAGTCATCTTATAATTTATTTACCACCCATTTTTCTTTAGTTCTTGATATTATCGCTTTTTTTTTGTACCAATTTATCTTTCAAAGATATTCAATATAATTTTACAAGTTCTATTCACCTCTCTCTAACAAATATTTCATTCCAACCCTAGAAAATAAATAATATTGTACTTTGTCATCTTAGTATTTAAATGGAATATAAAATTATTGGAACGAAATAACTAGGGTAACTATCTAACCAAAATTAAAATGTTACATTTCTATTGATTTATTCTAGATCAATATTAATGTTATTATTTTTTTAATTAAACAAAACTGGATAATTTATGCATAATAAAAATGAAACCAAAAGTGTGGCACCCAGACCATATTATAAGAATTAGAAACAATTCAATGTCTAGATATTCTTTCATTTAACAATGGAACTCTATCGAGTTACTTTTAACATCTGCACATAAATGAGACACACCCATTTTCCTCATCATCTAAATGAAATTTATTTGATACAATGTCAACAATTAAGGGAATTAAATAAAAATATTCTCTGATTGCACATGGAAATTCATTATTTCCATGGCCTATCGCCACACTTGTTTGGCAGGCAAATTTCCTTGGCAATGTCATCAAATTGAATTCCAGTATCATAGATCTCTCCATTTTTCCAATCATTAGGGAGTTCATAATTTGTAAAATACGTGTTCTCATTATTGTATCCTGAAGCTACCATTATCATCAACTGAAATCCTCCTTCAATTACTTTGGTCGTGTGCCAAATAGCACCGTAGTTTCTCTGCATGGGTTCCCAATTTGAGGAACCAACCTACAAATTCAATGCAAAACCAAACAAAACTCATGTTAAAAACTATCAATTTTGTTGTAATACATTGCAAATATATGGTTTTTTCTATGTTGAAGTTTTTATTAGTTTACCTCAGCTATTTCAACTGCTTTTATTTCTGTTTGGCCGCCTTGGTAAAGGAATTTTATGGCCAAGTAGTTTGGCTTTTGGCTCCATTCCTCCACTCGTACCGACAAATTCTTGTTTCGGTAGGTACAAGGTATCCTGTATTTACATGTAGAACATTATATTTGTTAAGTCTCTTATATTTTCGATGTAAGAGCGTTATAAAAACAATGAAGCAATGTAGATAAAATGCTCACCTTTTATACTCGACATCAACTAATCTTAGATTCAAAAGTTCTTTTCGCTTATTTTGCAAAGCCATTGCGGAGTATGCTTTCTTACTGAGGATAAAGTCATGTTTGTTATTGCTAGTTTGATCTGTCACAACCACTTTAGTCCCTGCAGTGGTGCACAATCTTCTATCCTTGCACCTTACCTTCAACAAATTTTGAAGGAAAAAAAATATATAAGACACTAGTTCAGGATTCGAGACAAAAATATAAAAGTGCGTTTGATTGGTAATCTAAAAACATAAATTAAAACACATGGGAACACATAGAATTCAATAAAAAAATAAAATTGTATTCCACGTTTTCATGCCTCAAGTCGCTTGGGTGACTTGAGACTTCAAGAAGATCCTAATTCAATTCAATAAATCTAGAAACAAAAACATAATCCAAATTGATACCAAATATGCCAAAATTTTACCTGAAAACAGGCACCACATCCAGCTCCTTCTTTATAAAGAGTTGAGACAGCACTTGCGACATACCCATTGGACAATTCTAACGCCAAGGAGCCATACCCACATGCCCCTTCTGCAATATCCAAATCAAATGCATTAAATTAATCAACCATTATAATTCACATATAATTTCAATACATTTGATGACACAAAATCTACCCAAAGTTTTAACTTAACCATTATCATAAAATAACGTAAAAATTAAATAACAGTGAAGCCTACGATGAATGGATAATGTATCATCATAGTAATAAGCAGCCTTGGATTGACGAACGCAACGATCACAAGCAGTGGCAGAAGAGATGATGAAGAAGAAGAGAACGCCAAGAAAGAGACCCATTTTGGTTTTTCCTTTTTTTGCAAGAAATTAAAATGATTGAGTGTGAGAAAGAAAGCAACAAAAGATGGTGCTTTATATAGTAGTTCAAAACCCCAAAACCAGTGCATAGAAAGTCGACATTTTCTAAAAGGCCAATTGATTTTGAAGGCTTTAATGATGTTTTTTAATTATATTTTATTTTATTGGTGGGGATGCCATGTGAGAAGGAAAACGATGGGTGATTAATAATTTAATTTAATGAGCATTGAGAAGTTGGGGGCAATTCGGCTATCATTTGGAGATTGCGTTTGGAAAAGGTCAAAATCCATGTCTTTTTCAGACACTGGATTTATGGAATTTTTGTTTGGTTATATATACACGATAATGTATATAAGAGAGGACAATTATCTTCATTGAAGACTTTTGGGTGGAACAAAAAACAAAGTCGTGAGGGTTATGTCCAAAACGGACAATATATTAATTAAATTTAACCAAGCAATCAACTTAAGATTTTGGGTTGAGTGGTGGTTTATTCATCTTTAAGATGGTATCAGAACGGGAAGTCGTCTAGCCGTATCTAAGAGATAATAAGAATATTTTGTATTAAACTTACCTAAAGGTTCGAATACAAGATCTCATGATAGGTGATATTACGGGGTATTATACCTTTGCCAATAAAATTGCTCTTTGAAAGCATATATGTAATATATAGCTTAGGAGATTAATATCCAAATTATAATGTTTGTTTTGTTGCAAGAAAATATATAAACTAAACAATGAAAATTACAAGTTATCATTTATTTACCACCCATTTTTTCTTTAGTTTTTTAAAATTATTGGGGCATTTTTTTTTACCAATCTATCATTCAAAGATATTCAATATAATTTTACAAGTTATATACACTTCTCCTAACAAATATTTCATTCTAACTCTAGAAAAGAAATAATATTGTACTTTGTCGGTCTTATATTTCTAGGTATTTAAATGGGATATAAAATTATTGGAAAAATATAACTTGTCCCACGTTGAAAAGATAAAGGGAGCTAACAGGATATAGTATCAAAGCCCAAAAGCTAAAACGAACATACGGTASGGTCAAAAAATAGGATCTGACCAAGATTGATAAAGCAAAACAGTCATGATATTGATGAGGTAGGTTAAGGATCCCACATTAGAAAAAGAATCTTATAAGTTTGATAATAGACCTAGCTACTTTTGTTACTGTCAATTGATTTTGATATGGAACCTATAAACATATATTTATAACAACTAAGGTCACTATCTCGACCAGAATTAAAATTTTACATTTCTATCGATTTATTTTAGGTCAATAATAATGTTATTATTTCTTATTAAATAAAACTGGATTTATGCATAATAACAATGAAAAAACAAGTGTACTGGCAGCCACAGAAACAATAAAAGGTCAAGATATATGTTCAAAGAGGACCAAACATAAAATGAGAATAATATTTTAAATATTGCATTATTTTATTTAATAAAGGAACTCTATTGAGCTCCTCTTAACATTTTGTATAGAAATGAGGAACACACACCCAATTTCCTCATCATCTAAATGAAGTTTATTGGATATATGGCAACAAGGGAATTATATAAAAACTATATTCTGATTGCACATGGAAATTCATTATTTCCATGGCCTATCGCCACACTTGTTTGGCGGGCAAGCTTCTTTGGCAATGTCATAGATTTGAATTCCAGTATCATAGATCTCTCCATTTTTCCAATCATAAGGAAGGTCGTAATTTGTAAAATATGTGTTTTCATTATTGTATCCTGAAGCCACCACTATCTTCAGTTGGAAGGCTCCTTCAATTACTTTGTTTGTATCCCAGATAGCACCGTAGTTTCTCTTCATGGGTTCAAAATCTGAGGAACCAACCTACAAATTCCATACAATACAAAATAAAACAAAACTCAATGTTAAAAAAACTGTCAATTTTGTTGTAATGTATTGCAAATATATGGTTTCTGTACATGTTGTTGAAGGTTTTATTAGTTTACCTCTGCTATTTCAACTGCTTTTATTTCTGTCTGCCCACCTTGGTAGAGGAATTTAATGGCTAAGTAGTATGGCTTTTGGCTCCATTCTTCCACTCGTACTAACAGATTCTTGTTTGGATAGGTACAAGGTATCCTGTGACATGTAGARCATTTTTGTTTGTTAAGTCTCTTGGGACTCGTTTGATAGTGTTCTAATGTTTCTTTTTCTTCCTTTTAATAAAGAAARATAAATTGTATCGTCCCAAGATCCATGAATTCAAGTATAATAAAACAATGATTATGTTTATGTTTTGGAACAACATTGTAAATGGAAACAAGAAATGAGAAACTTGTTTTGATTACAATTAAGAATGTTCCCAAAAACGAGAAATAAGAAAAAACATAATTAATTGCAAAATGTTTAGATTTCTTAAGAAAATTAGAAATGAGAAACGGTTACGAAACGGACCTTTTATCTTTTCGATGTTATCACAATAATAACAATGTAAGAAATGCTCACCTCTTATACTCCACATCAACTGTTCCTAGATTCAAAAGTTCTTTGCCCTTATTTTGCAATGCCATTGCTGAGTATGCTTTCTTACTGAGGACAAAGTCATATTTGTTGTCGTTATTTTGATCTGTCACAACCACTTTAGTCCCTGCGGCGGTGCAGAATCTTCTGTTCTTGCACCTTACCTTTGAAGACCAATACACGACCAATCAACAAAAAAAAAGGGTGTTCAAGACAAAAAGATAAGGCTGTATTTGATTGGTTATAAACTAAAAACCTAAATGTGAAGGATTCAATAAAAAAACTAGGTTGTATCCCAATTTATATGTATTTGAAACCAGATTTGAAAATTGAATCTATAATATAATAATTTATAATACATTATATTTTACATATTTTTATTTTAACATAAACGAAGGGAGTTTAAAACATGAAATAGTATATTTATAAAAGAATTATTATCATTTTTTTTATGTAATTCTATATTTTAAAGTTTCAAATTCAAAATCTAAAAGATGCTGCCTTTAGAATTTCCATTATTTCGATAACAGCATCTAAAAACAATCTTAAAAAATATATATGTCCAACATACTGAAAACACATATCAAATAGGTCATAATTTTACCTGAAAACAGGCACCACATCCAGCTCCTTGTTTATAAAGGGCAGGCACAACAGCTGCAACATACCCATTGGATAATTGTGATGCCAAGGAGCCATACCCACATGCCCCATCTGCAATATTCAAATCAAATACATTAAATAAATCAACCATTATTCACATATCATCTCAATACATTTGATGACACAAAATCTAAAGCCAAATCTTTACGTTGAATAGGTGTATCGTCGTAGTAATAAGCAGCCTTGGATTGACGAACACAACGATCACAAGCAGTGGCAGAAGAGACAAGGAAGAAGAAGAAAAAGCCAAGTAAGAGACCCATTTTGTTTTCTTTTTGTTCTCCTCTTCTTGCAAGAAAATGATTGAGTGTGAGAAATAAACCAACAAGGATAGTGCTTATATAGTAGTTCAAATCCTCGAAACATCTTGTAAAAGGCCAATTGATTTTGAAGACTTTAATGATGTTTTTTATTTTATAGATGGGATGTGAGAAGGAAAACAATAGGTGATTATGCTTAAAAAATGAAAAAAAAAACGATAGGTGATTAGTTTTAAGAAGCATTATTAAGGAGTTCGAGATTTATGTTGGAAAAACAATAAATCCATGTCTTTTTCAGACAGTGGATTTCATGGAATTTTTGTCTTGTTCATCCATATTTGGTCAAAACTCAGTGGCTTGTATCCCAGCTGCGCCTTATACTTCTATTTAAGGGTTTTTTTTAGTATATATTGGATCTTCACCTAATTTTTTTACTTTAATATTTTTCTTTCTGTGAACTATGGTCTCTCCACTTAAATTACATATATTTTACCTTTTGATTAGAAAGCACATGGAGCGTTTAGAATATTAAATTTTCATCGACATTTTTATATGTTTATGAGTTTAATATCGATATGAGAAGTGAATCGACATTTCCATAGCCTCGTAAAAAATTTTAAAAAGTATGAACAAAATATCACTACTATAAACATAATATTAATATTAATTAATCAATTTTAACTTATTTAATAAAAGAGTGAAATGTTTATCTTATTTTGAAATGTTTGTTATAATTTTTTTTATTTTGACATTGATATTTTATCAATATTTCCAAAAAGTCTCTAACATTTTCAACGATATCAAAATTTTAAATATTGGGTTCGTTGGTGATTCATTTTTAAAATGAAAAAAAAATTCTTTTCATTTGAAGTAAATAACTTATACACTTATCTCTAGTAAATTTATATTGCATCTTTCTTTTAATGAATTCAAATTTATCAACAAGATAAAAATATGAAATAATAAATATATAGTATTATAGCTTTTTTTTAGTACAATCCAGATGAGAGATTCGAACTCATAATCCATTGGTCATACATATGTGTCGATTACACTGAGTTAAGCTAATGTGTGGACTATTATAGTTTTTTTTTTTTCTTCTCTAGATTATAAATATATCAAAAGAAATTCAGTTTTAGTTAAGTTTTTATGAATTCAAATTTATGAACAAGATAAAAATATGAAATAACAACAAATAAATAGTATATTTATAAATTTTTTTTCCTTCTTTAGACTATAAATATATGAAAGAAAATTAATTTTATCAAGAAAACTCTACTAAATGTTTCAAATTTCATTATCTTTTCAAATATTATATACATAAGTTAACCCCTTTTCTATTTTGAAATAACAACAAATAAATAGTAGATTTATTGTTTTTTTTCCTTCTTTAGACTATAAATATATCAAAGAAAATTAATTTTATCAAGAAAACTTTACTAAATGTTTCAAATTTCATTATCTTTTCAAATATTATATAGATAAGTTAACCCCTTTTTTATTTTGAAAAAAATAATATAAAATATTGTAGGTATAAAATCATAAATTTTTAGTTTGATTTTCAAAATTACTTACTATGATTATTTAATTATAATCAATGCATCTAAAATAATTATATTTATGTCTCAAATTCTGGATTCACCGCTATTTCTTGACATATTAAATATCTAATCTATCACTCCTATCCAATCAAAAAATAATTTAGTTCATAATTTACATTGGAAAGATTAAAAAAAATAATAATAATAAAATAAACTTCATCATATTTCGCCTTATTAAAAGAAAAACCCTATCTTACCCACATAATAATCTCACCCCTCTTCTCCACCATTTTCATATATTTTTGTTGACTCATCTATCATTCTCTCATTCAATTTTGATAATATTAATCAATTAGGAAAAGTAAATTGAGTTTTTTCTTTTTTAATACTTGGGATTGAAATTAATATATATAGTGAGACAAAATAATTAGAAATATCTCTTAATATAAAGTTTTTCAACTAGAGATTAAGAACAAAAGGGATTAGTGATTAAATAGATCATATACATACCAATGTAAAAATACGAGAGGAGAGAAATATTCTAAATGTTTCAATATTATTCATTAATCTCATAGAATTCTATATTGAATTCTCTTATACTTCGTATGAGGAATACATACTTATTTTCTTCATAATCTAATATCATTTAATATAAAATTTATTGGATCAGTGTTAGAGCTCGAATGGAATCACAATTTACGAAGGTGAAATTATTGTTTCATGCAGAATAATCTATTTCCATAGTCTATCGCCACATTCCTTTAGAGGGCAAACTTCTTTGGCAATATCTTCAATTTGAATTCCAGTATCGTAAGTCTCTCCATTTTTCCAATCGGCAGGAAGCTCATAATTCGTCCAAATCCAATTCTCATTATTGTATCCTGAAGCCACCACTATTCTTAGTTGCAGTGCTCCTTCAGGAACTCTATTTGTGTCCCAAATAGCTCCATAGTTTCTTTTCAGTGGTTCCCAATCCGAGGAACCAACCTGTTGTCAAAATTCAATATTGTCATCAACCAAAAATGATATGAATGAACTTAATTATTTAACGTTTTTGTGAGTTTTTATAAGCTTACTTGTGCAATATCAATTGCTTTTATTTCTGTTTGGCCGCCTTGGTAGAGGAATTTCATGGCCAAGTAGTATGGCCTGTTGCTCCATTCTTCTACTCGCATGAACAAATTTTTGTTTTTGTATACACATGGTACTCTGTATGTGCAACATTGAAACACACCAAATGAGTTGACATCTCTAGCAAAGGAATTAGTTTGGAAAAGTATTGCATTCATAATCATCAATATTCTTTAAGCCACGTTTTTTGATACAATATGGTATCAGAGTCTAAAAAGCTCAAATGAGCATCCAATTCAAAAATGGGATCCGACCAAGATCAATAAGTCAAAAGAACCTTGATCTTGAGGTGCATGTTAAGGATCTCACATGAAAAGATAAAAGAGACCTAATAAACGTTTATAATAGACATTGGCTACTTCTCCTCATAGTCAATTGATTTTGAAATGGAGACCCATTAATATTGATATTGTACAGAGTCCAAAACGCTCAAACGAGCATTCGGTCAGAAAATGAGATCCGGTAGATCAATTAGTCAAAAGAGTCATGATCTTACGGGTTGAAAAGATGAGGGACCTAACAAAAGTTTATGATAAAACTTTATTGATAATAATTACTTCGGATTCAAAAATGGGACTTATATCAATATTTATGGGATTCATCTCAATACTAATTAAAAATGAGACTATTGAGAAGAGTGAGTAGTCCARGTATATTATAAATAAGGTCTCTTATTTTATCAAATAACAACCGTAACAAAGCTATTATGAAATAGCTAGAAAAACTTACCTCTTGTATTCGATATCAACCATTCCAAGTTTCAAAAGATCTTGGGCCATACCCCATCGAGCCATTTCAGAGAAAGCTCTCCTACTGAGAACAAAATCTGTTCGATTATCGTAGTTTTGATCAGTCAAAGTTACTTTAGCTCCTATTGGACTGCAAAGCTTTTTGTTCTTGCACCTCACCTGAAAAATGAAGATGTTAAGCATCAATAAAACCACATCTCAATCAAAAGTTTAAACTGATGAGTTGGATAAATTTAATTAATTTATATATGGATTCTCAACCGAATAAACTATCACTTATAAACTTATATTGCAAGACAAAATAAATGGATAAATGGAGGAAGAATGAGATACACAAGAATAGCTAAATACCTGAAAGCAAGCACCACAACCAGCTCCTTGTTTGTAAAGGGAAGGCACACCACCAGCAACGTATCCATTGAAGGACTCAGTTGCCAAGGAACCATAGCCACATGCACCATCTGCATCAAATAATTAAGCCCACTCAAGCAATTATAATCAATGGTAGAAAATTATTCGAATCTTCATAAAATAAAATAAAAATAAAATCTTTACATTGAATAGGTGCATCGCTGTAGTAATAAGCAGCTTTGGATTGATGAACACATCGATCACAAGCAGTAACAAAAGAGACAAGAACAAGGAAACCAATGAAGGCAAGAAATGAATCCATTTTGTGAAGAAACAAGCAAGAAGGGTGAAGACCTTTTATAGGGTGCATAAAAATGGGTGTAAAGAAAGAGATTTGGCAGTTCCCATAAGGCAAAATCGATGGATTTTTATGAAGCGGGTGACAAAGAAAGGACATAGGTTTTTTACAAGAAAAAACACAGCACACAGCCACCGATATATTGCTTATTGGTGCGCTAGTCAAGAGTAGGGGAGAGTTCCAATCTTTTGCTTAATGGATGGTTAATTATTTTTAGGCAAAATTTAAGTGGTTTTTCTTTGCTGGTAACACGATTATAGGCTCCTACATAAAGCATTATTTTATGCAAAAAGTTACTCACCAATTGTACTTGTATTAGTCTCGAGGTTAGGTGTGTTAATGGGTGAGATCAGAATACAACCTACATTTCTATCTTTTATCATTAACTGTACTTAGTTATGAGCAAAAAGAGTGTTAAAAAGATAGATATTTATAAATGATTAAATTTATTARCATAACCAATCAACTTATGCTTTTAAGTCTGAATTTTTAAAGCTCGAACGCCTAGTATTGATATGCAGTTTTCTTATAAAGAAAATGAACAAAAAATGGTTAAAATTAAAAAAAGAATTAGATGAAAAKAAAGTTGTTCTATCGTAGATAGGATCACTGCTTTGAAACCAATTTCGGTACAACGTTGGTGTTATATCATATGTCCGTTGCTCCCAAAGATTAACGCAACTTCGAACTCAGGTATGTATTTATTGGAGTCGAATGAAATAGAAAGTAACGTTCAAATAATTAWTTAAAACATAAATAAAACGTTTCATTAAAACTTTTAAAAATAAACAACAATAAAGATGTTCATTTTTTCTTTTATCATTTACGAGGAAAGACAAACACGGTCGAAAACAAAGGCAAACACGATCGAAACCTTGAGACTACAAAGGAGGAGTTGGGGCGATGAGCATTAGCATTTATTTACCATTGGCCTTCGTCGCATGGTGTGCAACTTTCTTGGCCTTTGGCAATGGCGTCGATCTGAATTCCAAGGTCGTAGATCATCCCCGGCCTCCAATTCGCCGGCATCTCTCGCTCCGCCCTGACCCACATCCCGTCGAACCCCGAGATCACCCTTAACTGAAAAACCACCGCCCCTTCCACCGCCGCATCTGTCTCCCACACCGCTGTCCCATGCCTTCTGTTCATGAACCTCGTTCTCCCTGAATTCACCTTTTCTCCAACAATATATATACACACATGAGATTATGTTTTTGTGGTACAAATCGAACAAACAAGCTTTTGATTTAAGATGTATATCAATTAATATTGGTTTTGACATATTTAAGATGTTAATTTTTGTTTTTTTTTTTGGTTTTGACATATTTAAGATGTTAATTTTTGTTTTTTTTTCTTTTCTATGAATTTTAAAACATGTGTAATTTAATATGTATGTCAATTAATGTTCGTTTTGACCTATCTAACATGTTAATTTTTGTTTTTTTTTTCCTTTTTTATGTATTTTAAAAAATGTGTAAGAGTAATGAACCATTCTGTTTAATCTTGCATTTAATAATTTATTAAACACTTTTCTTTTTAAGATTTTGGAATTTATTAGGCCATAAATTTAACTTTGTGTCAAGTTGACAGGTCCTCCTCGACCTTTCAATTATATTAAACTTATTTTGTTTAATATATTCCTAAAYTTTAACAAATGCACAAACTTATTTGACATTAAATTAAAATTTCAATATTCACATTTTCTTGTTTAAGTTCATGATATATGCTTAAATAGACATATGACTAATTTAAAGTTTATGTCACCCATGTAATCCTTAAGTAAATTCAAGCAATATGATATGCAAATATTAAATGTATACAATAATAGACCTAATAAATTTCCAGACCAAAAAAAATAGACTGGGTAAGAAAAAATAAATTATCAAGATTCAAACCTCTAACTTTTTTTAGTGATTCAGTAAGGATGAATATTCGAACCTCTAATCTTTTAGCTAATAATATATAACCGTAAAAACGAAGAATCTTTTGACTAATAATATATATCTTTGATTAGCTGCCCTATAAATTTGTTTGAGAGCTGGGGTGGTTTTTTTAAGCTTACCGGATGAAGATGAACTAGTACTATATCAGTCTGGCCACCTTGGAACAAGAACTTGACAGCCAAATGATGTGGCTTTTGGCTTGATTCTTCARTTCGTACTGACACATTTTGTTTTTTGTATTCACAAGGAATCCTGCGAAATCCATGCTTATCCATCAATAAACATATATTCATCCAACTAGTTTCTTTTTGGATTTAAATTAATTTCATTTGTCTCCAATTCTACTCGTAAAATATCTACTTTAGTTTCTATTAACTTTGAGAACTATATATGTCGAAGATTTAAACTTTTGTTTCTTCACTAATAGAAGCAAAAAACAACAATAATATAAAAATCTAACCTCTTGTATTCGACGTCCACAGTCCCAGTTTTCAAAATATTCTTATCTCTGGGCTTGAGAGCCATGGCAGAGAAAGCTTTCTTACTCAAAACAAAATCAGTGGTATTGCTGTGTAGATTCAGATCAGTCAAAATTACTTTTGTGCCACCTCTGCTGCAAACTTTCTTGTCTTTACACCTTACCTGCACCAAAAATGTACAACTACTTCCTCTAAAACCACTCTCAAGCCTCAGCCATACACTATATTCAATTTAGCATATTTCTCAAGTACTTAAACTACTACAAGAGTAGGAAAGTTATTTGCTTAATAACACCATCTTTTCATAAAATTTCTTTGAAGTAATCCATTACTATTCTCATGATCACTGTGCTTTTAAAATGTTCATTTTAATCCATTTACTTTTAAACAAATGACAATTTTGATGCCTTAATTTTATTTTTATCTTTTTCTTCCGTCACAATTTCAAGATGACATTAAATATATATTTCTTAAAATGTGATAATTATTTCAATTGAGGTAGAATTTATATTAAAATTTTAGATCAATCCCAAACACGCTATAAGATCATGTTTACCTGATAGCATGCGCCGCAACGAACTCCCTCCTTATAGAGGGAAGGGACACCGGCGGCGAGGTGCCCGTCGAGGAAACCAAGAGCCAAGGAGCCATAGCCACAAGCCCCAGCTGAAAATCAGAGAAGAATCTATAGATATAAAAAGAAGAAGGGAAAAAATGTAGATTTTGATGGAAAATATGATGAAGAGAAACAAAGGATTGGAGAAGTGGGAGATGTAATGTACATGAAAGTGGATAATGGGTAGAGAAATAGGCAGCCTTGGATTGGTGAACACAGCGATCACAGGCAGAGGCAGAAGAGGCCAGAAAGAAGAAGAGAAGCCACAAAAACAAACCCATTTTTGTTTTTGTTTTGTTGATGCAATATTGAAAGAGAGGAGAAATGAGAGATTGGGGTTTATATATTGTTGCTTTTGTGTAATAATTTTAGTAATATTTTTCACGTGGAGAGGAGAGATTATGTTCCCACCGACTCTTCTCTCAACATGATATCAATATATATTTGCATTTCTAAAACGAAAATGAGAAACTGAAATTTTGAGAATCTGAAGCACGAGAGTCCGATTTTATCACGATCGTTTAAAGGTTTGGATACCGAACCACGTATTTTTTGACTTCATTTTAGTTTCTCTATACTTTCAAAATATTTATTTTGTCTATATGTACTTTTTTTTAACTTTTGTTATAGGAATTAATTCCTAAGTTAGGTGACTATATAGGATTTGAACTCATCCATTCTCAATTTATCCCAATCTTATAGACCAACGAGTCATTCATGATGATTTTTAAAAAAAATTCTCTAGTTCTTGTACTTTTAAAAAGTGACCATTTTAGTCTCTAGTTACAAAATGTTAACACAAATTTTATACACGATGTTGTAAAGCCCTTTAGTACAGATTTATAGCCATATATCAAGAAATTTAGGAGTGTGAATTGTAATGCAAAAATTATGGCAGAAAAAAATGAGATCAAAATGAGAGTAAATAAACTAAAATATTCACTTTTTAAAAATAAAAAGACGCAAAACAGATGTTTCAAAGTACGAGGAATAAAATGAACAAGGATTGAAAATACAATGACCAAATGGGTAAAGTTTATATTGTCTTGTTGTCTTTCCATCAGTTGTAGCTATTTTAACGTTGGGAGAAATTACTCAAGACCTGAAGCTCTTTTAATGTTGGGAGAAATTACTCAAGACCTGAAAGAATACGTGGCTTGATCAGATAGTACACATGAGAGAAAATTTAAAATTTTTATTTCAAACATATTTAGAGGATAGACAAATTTCATTAACATACCACCTAAATAGTTACTAAAGGTGGCCACATGCATTGAATAATTTTGCCTTTATTCCGTCGCCTAAGGGTTGTAATTAAGACATGCTACCATGAACGAGACTAAGAAAGACTCAATTAATATAAGACATGAGGCTTAACTATATCATATAAAAAATATTAATTAGTCAAACATCTCGTGGGACTAGTCAAAACTCGACAATATGAATGAAACTAACGTAGGAAAGATACATTTAGTAGTATGTGGTCACTCTTTATATGTGAACTTTCACGACATCACATTCGATCAAGAAAGATAATTATGATTAACTAATTTCAAATAGCGTTCCTAGCACTGATAAAATGCTATTTATCTTATTATTTTCTTGGTCTAGCTAGTTTTATATTTTTTCTATGTAATAGTTGGTTATCTTATTTATCTATTGTATTGCTCCATATTTTAGGCTCTTCTCTTTATACTACGAGTCCTTGTACATCTTTTCTAAATATGAGTTGAAATATTTCGGGCTATTATCAATCCATATGGTATCARAATCCTAAAAATCCTTTTTCTTCTCCAGCTAACAATGTCAATGGTAGCATCTCTATATTTTTCCTCAGGACACAATTGACCACACCTATCTCCGTTCTTCCCATACCCTCTACCCATATCCTTACTCTAGAAGCAACTCCTCCAAATCAACCTCATTTCCAGCTCTATAGAGCGCTTACTAATTTATTATCGATAATTGTCACACACTCCTAACTCTTAGGTACATAAGGAAAAGAGAAGTGATCAAGCTCTAGGGCCCAAAACCAACTATGGCACCCAATTAATAGTTGTTTATGGGCTATTCGGCCTCTAAATTAAATATAAAATTGACTATTTGATAAAGAATAGTATTTTACTTTTTTTTTCTTGTTTCAATTGTTGTTGTTAAACTAAAAAGGAAAATAGAGAAGGAAAGCAAAGAAAATAGCCGTCCACGACACGACATCACATAACACAGGAAATGTTAAATTTACGAGAGGATTAGATTCTCTAGACTTTTTCGGTTGTATTTTTCAAAAATGGGGTTTTTGGACGATTCAACCTTTTTAAAATTATTTTCCATTGTTTTTCTTAATCTCGAAAACTGTGCGAAAAGATATTGTTTCGTATTTTTATTTATTTTTATCTCATAATATCGTAAATCAAACAAAACATATAAAAATAAATCATTCTTCCATTGATCACCATCACTTCCAATAAGTATTAAAATTAATTGAAAAGTATAGAAATCAAAAGAAATATTTTAAAATATTAAAATTAAAATGATTCGGAGTTGAAAATACAAACTAAAATAATATTTTATTCTAACTTTTTTAATTTAAAATTTTGGAGAATGAAAAAATAGTTATAGAACATGTTTTGGGTCATTTTCAAATGCTTAAGTAATGGGGTCTTATGCTTGAATCATAGAACATGTTTCTGGTCTAACTTTCGTTCTTCACTCCATTCGATTCACTCTCTTTGCTTTTTGACTCATCTATGAGACATCTCTCCTAGAATCTCCAAGAATAATTTAGAAAGACTAATATATCTAAGATAGATTTGTAGAGACAGCTTTAAGAAGCTTCTAGATAGTTAGTGTTGTATTTTAACACACACACTCCTAACTCCCCAAAGTCTTATCGTCGTTTATAAAAGAAAGGTTAAATTTTCGATGTCGTGACTATTTAGTTTTTATAGTTTAAAAYATTTTTAATAAAATAATTATGTTTATGAACTTTTGTTTATCTAATATCAATACTTTAGAAAGATTATAATAAGTCCATGAATTTATAATTTGGTGTCTATAGGTAATTGTTATGACAACTCTCAATTTATACTATATTTACACTGCTAAAATGCTTAAATAGTTTGAAAATCAATGGGATGATCTCTACATAAGTATAATCAATACAGTCGAGGGTGGAGTTAGATCTCGGTAGAGCCAAAATTTTTATAAGAGAGGACAAAAATTTTTATCTGCTAAAAGTTTTCGTATTTACAATCTATTCCTTCCTAAAACTTTAGAGGAGTAATAAATTAGAGAAAAACTACAAAATCTTAAATATATGTATAATTTTTAAGTGTATGATAAACTAATTAGGAGAGAACAATTGCTCCCTCCTTACTTATTACTTTAGACCACATACCAACTCATGACAGAAACTAATTACATGCATAAAATAAGATTTCATAGACCAAAATAAAAAGTAAAAAGTGTAGAACCACATTAAGAAAATAGAAAAAAGAACCAATTTCCGATAAATAAGTGGCTTTGGTTAAAGTTCAAAAGATAAACAACTTAATAAAGATTTATAATATATAKGAACTACTATTAAATGATTTTGAGATGGTTGATAGGTTTGTTTGTTTTTTTTTTTTTTTTTAATGAAATGGAGAGTAATAATCTCTTGTAAAAGTAAAACCTGTTTTTTTTTTCCCACAAACATGTGAGTTGGATTTGAATTCAGTGACTTCTTAAAAACGAGTATATGTTTAGCTATATTCCTGATTTAGAGGAAAAGTGGTATTTTCTACTCCAAAGTATTTTAGATTGAATTTTTTACCTTTGTTTTTCTAACCATTCAACATGTTATTTTAATTTTTTACCCTTTTAACTTTTAGCACTTGTGTAAGCTAAAACAAATCATCTCCCCCTTTTAACTTCTAACTTTCTTCCCTCTTCTCCTTCATTCTCAATCCCAAACCTCTCGATCTCTCTTTTCAATCTCGAAACGCTAAATATGCTAGCAAGTAAATTTATGCCCCATTTTTTGTTTTGCCAAATGCGTACTTAGTTTCTTTATTTTAGAAAGAAAAAAATTGTATGGGTCATTTTCATATTAACATGCTAAAAATAAAATAGGTCTGAAATTTGATCGAGGGGGGATGGACTTTCATTTTTTTCTCAAAAGGCAATTATAAAATTTTACTAAATATTGTCCCATCAAAATGAAAACAATTTCAAAATATCATGTCATTTTTTATCMGGAGAAAACTAACTATATGGAAACTAAAAAAATCACATGAAATATTGGGGACTAAAAGTAACTATATATAAGTACGCGATATTAACAAAATGTTCACATAAGTAAAAAAATTTAGAGGGAGTAGGCTCAAATGATAACTACCTATTTGAGCCACCATGATTTTTTTTTCTAATATTCGTGAGTATTCGAGCCACATTTAATTTTGTCACCTCGACTAATTTTACAGAACAACTACTTGACCCTACTACATTTGATTGCTAAGAAAACACATAGAAAATTAATTCTTAGATATAGGTGACTATCATATGGTTGAACACATCCCCCTAAATTCTTTTATGGGGACCACCATAGTTTAAACTCATTCCTTCTAAATTCTTTAGAATTTACCCCTTTTTTTCACAATGTATCAAATTAGATTACATTATTAATTTATTCCTATAATTTGAGCTTTGTATCAATTTTTATGATTTTAAAATTTTCAGCTTAATATCTTATTTGTTTTCCTTTTGTTATTCTTCGTTCATGGTTCAATATTCTGGTGTCCTACGCGCAGAGGAACCACACCAATCCATATCGAACTTGATGGTTAAACTCTACTTCAATGATGATATGGTAGGAGAGGTCCTGCGGAAAAATAGMTCGACGCCATGATGATAAAAAACTTAGCACTTCTAAGGGTATTTGTACTCTYGAAGGATGGCTAAGAATATCTGTTGGTACCAAATTCAGAGAATTAGTGCACTGTTCGTGGCATAACATCTATTATTGGATTCAAAAAAGCGTAGGCCTCAGTCAATTCGACAAAAAAAAAAAAGTTTAGTCTATTCTCTCACATATTATTAGAACTACCGAAACCAAATTGAATCTCAATCATAACTATAGAAACCAAATAAAAAATTTTAAAATAATAGGACCAGATTGAGATTAAGCTCGACAATTTATCCTGTTTTATAAATACTTTAAATCATATTTTTAAATTTATTAAATATTTTTCTGATTATTCAAACAATATCTAACGTGGTGTATCTGTAATATGTTATTGATATTTGTTATTGTTTGGGAATTATTTTGATGAAGGGGCAGTAGCCATTGTAATATACATGAAAAGGATTTTCATCTTACACAGCCACTAATGTTTGATAAAGCCACCCACCAAGACAGCAACAAAGTAAATACATTGCATTTAATATTGTTTTTCTTTAGGAGTGCTCAGTGCCTAAAAACAGGGGCGCCCACTCTCTTCTTTCACATGGCTTTGCCACCCACGTGTGAATGGCTTTTAATTTTTTTACTTTGTTTTGTTATTTTTTTCCCAGACATAGGCCCTTTTCATCAATTTATGGAAATTTGACACAAATTAATAATAAATAAATAGAAATAAACTGCCTGCATAAAATAAGAATATAAATTTCCAATTTAGCAGCAAGTTTAAACTATCATATGAGTCAAGTTTATGATATTTTTTTTAAGAAAGTAAAAGTATTGAGATTTTTTTAAAAAATGTATATAGTATTTCAGCTATCCAATATAACGTAATTTCCTCTAGAAATTATAATTTATTTAATAATTTTAAAAGTGAAATGCTAGGTATAAATAGTTTTAATGAACTTAATTTTTATTTTTTAAAAAAATTATGTAAATAAAATTGTTATTAATCAAATTATTTTTGTTTCTTCCCCATTTTTATCTCAACTATTTTTTAGTGTTTAAAAAAATATTTTTGTCAGGATCCAAACACACACCCACTAAACTAAAATATTACTTCATTGAAAGAAGGGCATATAAATTTAAGTATTTGCTTTGTAGCAATAATTTTTTGGCTTTACAAATATGTCAAAAAAACTTTAAATTATATATTTTTTTATATTTTTATTATTTCCAATTATTTCATTGGTGCGGATACTGATACAGACATCGTATTAGTTCTATCAATGATAAATCTTCAAAAGATGGAAGATTTTAGTTTAAGTAACATTGTAAGTTTTTCATTGATAGATCAAATATATTAGTAATATACTTCATTTTAGGTATATATCACTTATATATAACTTTTACAAAATACATCAATTATATACTTAATATTAAGTAACTAACATACTGACTATGATATAACTAATATACCTAATATAAAGTATATATGAGTCACACTAAATATATTAGCGATTTACTTTGATTTATAAGTACAACGGAATTGATATAACTAATATAACGAATATGAAAAAAAAAATATAATCGCCAAATATAAAGATCATCCGAGTTTGGAGATATAATAAACCGACACAAGATAAATACGCATTGCCCAAGTAGATTTAGTTGGTGTGGAGGGAGGAAAGATGAGCCAACAGCTAAAAACCCAGTTGATGCTGGGAATTGAGAGGACAGTTTTAAGTTTTTGCTTCTTAGGTATGGCTTAAGATTTAGGGCACCATGCCCTTGTGTGTTGTCTCTCCCTGTCCTCCAATAATATGTCCCTCTGCCCTTTAATTATGAGTCCCAATTTGTTTGGAAACTTGGGACAATCACCTGATATTTAGAGAGTTGTTACTCTTCCCAAAACTCTATTTGCTTTTTGTTTTCATGGATTATTGGTTCTAATCACTGGCATATACTGTCATCCTAGCTTTTTGGCCTTTTCAAATTCTTTGCTTTCCTATTTGGATCATGACGATCATTTTATTAGATCATGACATTGAGTTGATATAAGGGTGGTTGTTGTGATATCAATATTGTAACGTCCTAGGCAATTGTCACGGCATTTCCTTGTATCCCTTTCGACATGGTTGTGCCACTGCCATTTCTAGAGGTCGCTCGATCCAAGAGTGCTCCAAGTGAAGCACGTTTAATTTTAGAGTTCTTATGATTGAGCAACCGAAAAGAAATGTGCACCTTGTTAGTATAGGTAATAATCATCAATTCTTTTAAGTCTTTCTTAACCATGCTTAACCATGCTCCTAATGATCTTAGGATAACTCTTATGCGGATGTGTTATCGGTTCATTCATGTAACCCTCCTCTCTACTTGGATGTCACAAGTATACTTCCTGTATAATAATCTATGTATGAAAGCAAACAAAGGTTCATGTGAGTAGAGATGGTGAGCTAGTTGATTTATAATATATAGGTGAGAACAATTATAGTACGAGGCTTTTAAGTGAAATCAAAAGAAAATTCTAAAGGAGGTATGATGCCTACAATTTTAGCGAATCTAGTGATGCATGAAGTTGAATTTTAGAAGATTGAATGCTTAGTGTAGTGCTCTCCAATTCTCTAAAGAAAATCAACCCAAATTCTATGAATTATTGATATGCAATTAATAAAGAGAAAAAGCAACTTTTAAAAAGTCATTGTCACAACCCATTTTTGGGATCGAGATAATTGAGAGAGAGATTATATTTCACAAATAATCACCATCTCCATTTCTCTCATGTGGCTCTCATTTCTTGTAGTGAAACAAAATCTATGGACCCAATTCTGTCTTCAATCCAAAAAAACAAAAAACCAAATCAATTGAATCCAATTTCTAGAGAAAATAAATAAATAAACAAAAAAAAATAAACACCCCACCTTCTTCTTCACATGGCCATGTATCGTCCATCATCACTTCTTTAATATAAATTTGCACCAAAACCCTCAATTTTTTAGGACACCCAACTCATAAATCTCTAGAAAATTTTATTTTCACAATATTATATAATATATGGCCACCCCCAAACCCCTAATTAGAATAGCCAAGAGGTGGCAGAAGGCGGCGGCCGCCACGCAGCGGCGGCGGCGGATCTTGCTGCCGAGAACCAGAAAAAGCTCCTCCACGGCCACGGTGGCGGACAAGGGGCACTTCGTGGCGTACACGGTGGACCAAAAACGGTACGTTTTGCCAATAGGGTATCTGGGGAGCCACGTTTTCAGGGAGCTGTTGAAGATGTCGGAGGAGGAATTTGGGCTGCCGAGGGATGGGCCGATAACGCTGCCGTGTGAGGCGGCGTTTGTGGAATATGCCTTGTCTTTGATCCGACGACATGTCGACCGGGACGTGGAGAAGGCTCTGCTATTGTCGCTTGCTCCTCCGCCGGCTACATGCTCCTTTGGTTCTAGTGGTTTCTTCTCAGTGATGGTTTGTGGGTTTTGAGTTTAGTGGGATAAAAAACAATATATATATATATATAAACACGATTTTGTAAACTAATTTTTGTTCTTTGTTGTAATTAATCTTAATTATTTACTTCTTTAATCAAATCCAATTGAGTTGTTGGTGAGATATTTAGGATTTCTCAAACCAATTCTGATTATCTAATTTTTTTGTTTTTGGAGTACAAAAATGCATACATCGTCAAAAGCACACTAAATTTAGCCTTTTTGTTTGGCGTGGGATTGAGGAATTTTTAGGRAGTTAGATACATTTCTTATGCTTTGGAATTGTTGGTAAATGTGTTGTAGATTTTATGGGAGACTGATGTAATTTTTAGTCAAAGCGAACATAGTTTAGTGGTAATTAACTTATACCTCTAAGTAAGAGTTTATGAGTTCAAATCCCTTCCCCGTACTCTAAAAAAAAACTTTTATCTTAGACTTCTAATTTTATTAAATTAGACCTTGATTTTGTCTATTTTTATCTTGATTTTTATAAAATGTTGAATTTATAAACTAAAGTTTATTTATTAAATTAGACACCTCTCTGAGAGAGGTTATAAGCTAACTTGAGCCTAATTCAATGGGTTAAGGTATCTATGTTTCACAAGAAGATTGTAAATTCAAATTTTTTCACCTACGTGTTGTAATAAATAAAAATAAAATAAAAGGGAAAAATGTTACAATTTTAACTTTTTTGTGTTATACTTTCATTTAAAAATTTGATGAAAGAAAAAGTGCATATATTAAACCGATCACATACAAAGATTTGGCAAGAAGTTGATGAAACTGATCAAGATAAAGTTGAAACGTGGGTTGCATCGAAAAATTGGTGAACTTTGATAGAATGTTGAATTTATGTGTTTCTGTTTTTTAGTACAATGTGTCTGGGTGGAGGATTAAACTCACAACTTTTTGGTTGGAGATATATGTCAAGAGCTATATTCGCTTTGGCTTAAATTTATGTGTTGATTGGTTAAGATTTTTATCTTTTACGTTAATTTGTATGATCGTTTAAATTAAGTGTGTTTCAGAGGGATTTTTTTTTCTCTTTTTTTTACATAACTTGATGTCTAGAGTAGTGGGAGAATGTAATGAAATCTAATAAAAGGTAAAAGCCTAAAATACTTAGTTTCAGTCTAAGGTCTAATTAAAAATAAATAAATAAATATATATATATATTTTACAGAAACAGAAACTTACAGAACAAAACAGCGCAAAGGTAAAACAGAAATTAAATAAAGCGAAAACAAAACTCGCGGTCCTCCTCCAACGCTCCAGAAAGCTCCAGAGGCGCTTCCTCCAACCAAACTTGAAATCCAGGAGAAGATACGGCCCGGCGAGCAAGCATATGAGCAGCGGTATTGCCGGCTCTGCGAGTAAAACTAAACGTGACATGAATATTATGAGAATGAAGAAATTCTTTGATGACAGAAATCAGGACCCCAACCTCCGAATCGTCCAAACCAGCCTCCACTCCTAGTCGCAAACCGTCAAAAACCGCGAAACATTCCGCCCAATCGACGCTTGGAATGAAAGAAAGGGGCCAAACCGCAGCAAGATAGACGACCCCATAAGAATCTCGGAGGATAACCCCCACTCCTGCTCCCTCCTCTTTCGAGACGGCCGCGTCTACATTCACCTTGAGAAAGGGGTTCAACGGTGGGTTCCAACCTCCGGCCCAAAGCTGCCTTGGTTGATCCACCTCATGGAGAGAAACGCCCTGCGCCTGCTTATATATACTAAGATAATTATCCGACCATGCTCTGATCCCCTCGAGTAAGCCACCCGCATGAGAAACCGAAATAGATCGATTCCGTGCGCACCAAATCGACCATAACATAACCAACAAAAGCTCCAAGTCAGCCCAAGGAATTAGCACCTTCCACCCCCGAATAAAATCCAGCATAGCAGAGGACACCCCACCCCCTAGAATAGGGATGAGGTGAGAAAACTTGGAGCAGGCCCAAATCTGTTGCATTTTTTTACACCGCCAAAAAATATAAAGTGCATTTTCCCCCTTTTGACCACAAAATCTGCAAATAGAGAGCGTATCAATCCCCCTTACAGATAAATTGTCCCCGGTTGGCAAATGATCCAAACACATACACCACCCAAACAGTTTAATTTTACTCGGGATTTGAAGCTTCCAAAAACCTCGCCACCATGTAAGCAGAGAATCCAAAGATGAAGATGATGGGAATTGATGAATAAGCTCCTGTTGAGCCACCCGATAACCACTCTTTACCGTTTACCGTGTACAGTCCTCTTTTTTCAAAATGACAGATAACGTTTATCAACCAAACTGACCCTAGAGGTATGGACTGAATCAAGATGGCCTCCTCTTCTGAAAAGTGCAATGTTAATTTATCCTCATCCCATTGACCGGGAGGGGTCCAAAGATCACGGACTAGACTATCCTTAGGAAGCGAAGGTACTGATTGAACCGAAAGTATCTCGTCACGAGGAATCCAGTTATCTTCATAAATTCTGATATTAGCCCCGTTACCCACCCGCCATCAGAGACCAACCCGTAGAAGGTCATGCCCCCACAAAAGGCTTCGTCAAATAAAAGAAAGCATTGTAGCAGAAATTGCTTACTGCAAGTGTACGGATCAAGCTTTAATAAAGTGGTWAGTCAATACCGATATCGTCCTCTGGATTGGGTACCACAGATACAATTGCTCAATTTTATTTAGAGAATCAAAATCAAATGGGAGAATATAATCAAAGAAAATAAACATGCAATAATAAACATAAAAACAATGGGGAAAAGGTCTAGGGAATTGATTTCACCTATTGAATCTATGAATCAACTACTTAATTGGACGAATTATTAATTATATAGGCCAAGAACTCTCAAATCTCAACTRTCTCTCCTGAGCGCAAGCTAATTCTCCTTACGAATTAAGAAACCAATATCCCTATCTAGTTTCAATAACAACTAAAGACTTTATTGAACAAGTCTTTTAACAACCTCTAAAAGACTTCTAAATCTCCCGATCTTAAAACTCATTTAGTTATGCATCCCAATTCTAACTCTGAACCACCTCTCCCGAGCGTAAGATTTCAAGTCTAAAATCAATCAATCTGTGGCCAGTAGATTCAAGGCATTAAGCATAGAGAAGCCTAAATAGAACATTCATAAACATTCAACCAAGAAAACTAAACAATCAATGCATAAAGTTCAATGACTACATCAATCCCTAAGATGAGAGGTTTAGCTTCTCATATTCAATGGAAAACAATAAAATCACAATGAGAAGTCCATAACAAAACTAGAAAAATCAAGGGAAAGGAGAAGAAACTATGTTCGGCGTGTCAATCGTCCGTCCCCGAAGCGACCTCCACGATCCCGAGCCTTGAAAATCACTTTTCTAAGCTCTCCAATGGTCTCCTTGCCCTCCAATTTGGCCAAAAAGGCAAACTGCCATAAAACCTCTTCAAAACTCCYCCCTTTCGGCGGCTRCACAACCCTATTTTTATAAAAAGTTGTCGCGGTAGTGCTATGGCGCTATATATAGGGCCATGGCGCTACACTATTCATAAATGCGAAATTTAAACTTCGGAGTGCCGCGGCGCTCTAGGCTAGCGYCGTGACGCTATCTTCTCRGGTTTTTAGCTCCAAATATTGTTGTTATTCCATCTCTGCTTAAATTTGTCATGAAGAAACAAAAACTAACAAATAATTTCAATATAAATCTCATGAAATGTAGCTCACAAAGTGTGTTATCAAGCACGAGAACCAACAGATGCCTCCATGAAATCACAATTTTTAAAATACTTAAATTTCAACACCCGAGCAAGAAGAGATGAAGGATCGGAGAAAATCCACCACCCCTGTTTAGCAAGTAAGGCCGGGTTAACGAGTTCCAAATCACGGAACCCCAAACCACCCATACACTTCAGTAAACACATGCGTTTCCAACTCACCCAATGGATCTTGTGATCTTCATCCCCATCCCTCCACCAAAACCGAGCCATTACCATATGCATCTCATGAATTAAATTCTTTGGAAATCTAAATCAGTTCATCGAATAACAAGGAATAGCCTGAGTCACGGATTTAAGAAGTACCTCTTTTCCACCCACTGAAAAGAGCTTTCCTTTTCAACCTTGGAGATAAATAAAAATTTACTCACCTACTTTCAAATAAAAAYTGATTTTTTCTTCAATGTCAGAGTGAAATTACCACACTAGATTCACCTAAAGTGAGGTCAGGGAAGTGTCGTGGGTCAAGCTCATTAAATCAAGCCGATTAGGTCGAACCATCTGATAAGACCAAACCAAATCTAACTAGGTTGAGCCAATCGAACTCGATCTTCTATCAATAAGAGTGAACACTTTGTCTAACTTAAATGTGCAAGGTACGTTCTACACAATTCTACTTCTTTCTATTCTCAATTAAATTGTCTTATTTAGGCACAAGGGTGGGTCTTATTCAACTGTATTTCTTGCTACTCTCAACTAAACATTTAGGCATCAAAATATGTTGAGTTTAGAATCATACTGGTGTGCAGATATTTGAATATGTTGAAGCATTCAAGGTCAGAATCCGGATCCAAACAACACTTAAAATAGACATCTAACTCAACTTTAGAATCCCTCTCATACAATAAATTGATGTTAGTCACACACGTATCTTTAGAGAGACKTTTATATTTATGTTGATTTTTAAATACCTAAATTATTTAAAATGAATTTCAAAATCTTTTACCAAAAAMTATAAAATATCCCTGCTCGGCTTTTAAGTTATGTTTGACTGAGATTTTTGTCAAAGTCAAAGACGACTCTCCCCCTCCCCCTTCACATTTCCAACCTCTCTTTCTAAAGAAGAACAGAATAAAAATATCTAACTTCAAACAAAATAGAAATAGAAGATATGGATTAATTAATTAATTTCTCTTAAAAAATAGGGATGAATTAAAAAAATATGGAATSATTAATTGATAGTCAAATACGTATAAATATGGAATATAAATAACATACTGTGGTCAAAATATTGGATTAATTCTACTTTCGTAGAATATTTCAAAAGGTTATTATGACTAATTTATGTGTTAAATGTTTGAGGTCGTAATCCTATATTTTTATCCTCTATTCGATTTATTGTGGTAAAAATGTTGACATAAAATAACTTGAAAAGAAAGGTAATTATAAAACCAGTTATTTTCTCACAAGTCATCATTTTTTTATATAAAATTTATCGACAAAATGTTTACACCCCATACTTAATTTAAAGAGTCAACTTTAACTTTAAATTTTAATTTTATAAAATTTGAAAAATGTTGAATTTAATATAATTCTCAAAAATAAATTAGAAAATTTTTCTACTTAATAAATCATATAACAATATTCATTCAATAAAACACTCAAAATTAAAATGTGAAAAGATTAAACTCTAGCAATAAAGTAATCATAATCAACCAACAAAAAATCGAGTTGGTAAGAAAATACCTCATACTAAAAAACAAGAAACATGACCAAATGATCTATAATTTAAAAAAAAAAATAATAATAATAATAATTTCGTCCAAACACATAATTAGCTAGCCATTAGTCTTCAAAAAATTGAAATTTAACTGATTGTGTATTAGTTTGACACCTCATTAATGTTAGGGTCCAATTTAAAGAAATTAAAAAAAAGACTTAGGGTCAAAAAAATTGAATCATTAAATGAAGTAATGTTGTCTCGTCAGTACATTAGGCACTTTGCAGGTATAATATTATGAATATATCTTAACAATGATTAGAAGTATGATATTAAGAGGAAATGAAAAAGGAAACAACCAATMATTTGAACGTAGCTCAACTAGTTAATGCATATATCTCCGATCAAATAGTCCCAAGTTTGAATATGATTCTCAACTTCTACTTAAAAAAAAAATAGATCTTAATTAATTTTGAATTTCCAAATTGATTTTTTAATTCAGTAATTATAGATGATGAATTGAATCATCAACTTTAAAGATAATCTAGATACTTTATCGATAGAGCAATACACAAATTGAACTGGACTATATTATTTCAAATTTGAAATATAATTTAGTTAAAGTTAGGGTATAAAATATTGCCTCTCTATCAAATAAATATTTGACTGCCTCTCATATGATATTATATTAAACCAAGATTTTAAATGTGGAAGTCTCAATTTTATGAAAAAATGTCGTATAGAAACATGGATATAATTTAATAGCTATTAAAATAAATATCTTATTTTCTCAAACCATGTGTGAGAAGAAAGCGTTGGAAACAAGAGTTAATGAAAAAGTAATTTAGGTTAAACAAAATTAATTAACGTAGCCCTTGAACATCAAATAGTTGTCAAATATCATGTCTTAAATGGCAACCAAAACAAGTATATATTATATAATTCTGATATAATTAATTAGCTATGAAGAAATTATATTTTACTCTTTTTTTCTTTTTTGGGAAAAGGATTTTTTAATTTACATTCTTAGTAGACCACTGGTATTGTATTATTGTCCTTAGGCGTATTTGGACCGCCATTGTTTTTCTTTAAATAATTTAACTTTATCATCATAATTAACCAACTTAACTATATAATTAATTAATTAACTCAAATAATTTATGAAATTAATTCAAACAACTTCTATTCTCGCATCTTTGAATATCATATTTTTAATTCTATTCCAAGTTTGGTCGATTTCAAGCCTTTTATTCTGTTAAAAGTATTCTATCACTTTTAATATTTAATTTTTCTAAAAATATGATGAATAATAATGGATAAAAATATCTATGAATTGACAGTTSAATTATCGGTTGTGTTGGGTTGAGTTGAGAAATTTTTTGGAACTCAGCTTATTTGTTCSGAACTAATTTTATTGTATGAAATATTTTGAGTTGAGTTTTGATTGATTTATTCAAACTTTTATATAAAATATAATGAAAATGATATTAACTTAATGGATATGTGTGGTTATATTCAAACATATTGAATTGAAATTCATAGTATAATGTCATATTTTATTCTAGAAAAATTATACTTTAGGGGCTTCGAGGTGTTTAAAAAAAATACTTATTTTTTCTTTTTTTTTCCTTTGGAAGAAGGGAATTTTTTTTTTGTTGTTTATATCTAAAAAAATCTTTAAAAAATTATTGTTTGAAAATGAAGTTAAAATTGATATTACAGGTAAAAGGCTATTAATAATAGATTCGGAAGAGCACTAAATTTAAAATTAAAAAAGGGGAAGAGAAAAAAAAAACGAGCCGACAGAAATGATGTAACACTTTTCATATATGATATATTGTAATTATATTTTGTAGAAACAAGATTTTCTTATTAAATATGTATAATATTAAAATTATCGGTAAGAATTCGAATTTTCGACCTATAAAAATTATTATTAATGTTTTAAGTAGGTGTATATAAGTTGGAATAATTTTGATGCCACTTAATAATTTCTAATAGTTTTTGAAACATATATATACTCTCGTCCACCCATTTGATTATTAAAAATGTGATCCTGAAGGAAAAAATGTCTATATAAACTAATAATTTGTATGCTTCATTGGAAAAACAAGACTAATTTGGTCTCATATCTTATTTTTTGTAATTCCATAATTATTGCATCATGTTACTAATTTATTAGGAAAGAGGTTATTGATACATTATTCAATATTTTAATAATTATTGGGAGTGTATTATATTTACTCCAAAAAAATAAAAAAAACACATGCTACTTGTGTAATAACATCAAATTATACTATTTGTGGAAATATTCAATTTTTAAAATCTATGATAAGATCTTAACATGAATTTAGTTTAGCGATAATTGACACTAGTCTATGATATATAGGTTATGAATTTGAATCTTTCATGTTGTAAAAACGAAAGAAGATAAATATTAATCAGAAATTTTTTATACAAAAGAATCCTTTTATGGGATGACGTAGGTAGATGAGGTTGCTTCATAAATACTCATTAATTCTTTTGTAACTTTGTACAACAAACCCTTCCAGAAAATAGAAGGAAAAAAAAWACTTTTAACAAACATTGATAGACCATATAAATATCAATTACATTCTCGAAATTTCAAATTTAATTTTAATAAAACTTTATCATTAACATTATTTAAATATTGATTTAACATGATGTGACATAAATAAATAAACTAATTGAATAAAAGAAAGGTAGATTGGGCAAATCAAAAGTATAACTGATTAGATAAAACAATATTATCAAGGTGCACAACGTGGACAAGTTGATCCGGAACACTTACGAATATATAAAAATATAAATATAAATAAAAATAAAATATTTATTATCACCTCAAAAATTGATAGTTTGATTCTCACACCTGAAATTGCTAAACTAAAAAAATTGTGCGTAAAAAAACTGGAGGGAGGCGAACCAAAAATGCTTATATTTATTTGGTCGAGCTATCTTTTTTTTTAACTTTGAAGAACTAAACCATTTAATTAGTCCCAATTAGTGTACTACGTTAACTATTTTGGTTAATGACCAAGACTTCATACAATTAAAACAAAAAATGTTAAGGGTAGAATTGTAATTTTCGGAAAAAAAATAAATCTACAGACTAAATTTATAATTCAACTTTTTCTTTTTCTTTTTTTTCATTACCAGCAAAGTNCTGTTGGCTTGGGATTTAAAACAAACTGCCATAAAATGATGCACTTCTTCTGAGGACTGAGTCAAGTCAAAGAACTTTTTAATTAAAAAAAGAAATAACATGACATATATTTTGATAATGTTTTTAAAATAAGGCATTTTCTTATATAGATAATTTCATTTGAAAGACAGAATATTAAATTATCTATTTGACAAGGAATATGAATATTAAGAAGAAGAAAAAAAGACTGTTAATTGGAATGATTGTTGGTAAAATAATTTGACCCAATTAAAATATTTTTCCTTAGGTAATTCATCCGTGCACTGCTAAAAAATAGCAACAATTGTCTTTTAAAACAAAATAGATTCCCACAAAAGCTACCAAAATCAATATCAAGTAACCGTGCAAAACAATAAGAAAACTACAGTCAATAGTAACTTTGTAAGAATGATTATCATTAGAAACCCGAAATTCTTCATTGATAGCTAAAATCTTTATCATATTTGTCAAAATCTGATATATCAAACTAAATAATATATATTAGGTATATCATTGATATACTATATCAAGTATATTAATAGATAGTGTGTGTATATATATATTTTCGATATTCGTGAGTGTCCAAGTCAGTTTACGCGCATCTTGACTTAATATTATGGGACAACGACTTGACTCTACAATATTTGGTCTCGAAAAACACAAAGGAATTACTAATTCACGAATTTGCTCATTTTGCACTTTTTCTTTTTTCTACGTGAGTTGGACCTCTTCATTTTGCTATTTTTACAAAATTGAAAAGCAATTGCTACTTTTATTTATAGTCATTCAAAGAGTCACATAAATTAATCATGATTATAATTTGTTATAAAATAAAATGACACATCTCAACCCCCATGATTTTCTTGGTTAAAAAAATAAAAAAATAAACTTAAAAATCATATGTTAAGTGAACGATTTGATTAAAAGTGCAATATGTAACTAAACTTTGTATGTTGTACTACAAATTGATCTAAACATTATTTATCTAAATTTAGACCAAAGTATCAAAATTTGTACGGAATTTTACTAACTTCCATATATTTTGTGTATACAAAAAGATAAGGCCAAAATTCAATGCTATCTCCCATGTTGACCCTATACAATAAATTGAATTTCCAACGATCTTCCTTGACCGCTAGTACTTAAAAATTAGTAGAAATATCTCCATTTCTTTGAYAACTAACTTCACAAGCTGCCATTTTGAATTTCAAGCTATCTTTTTTTAGTTCAATTTAGCCCCCTTCAATCCTCAAAATGTGTTTATATATAAGAATCCATTGTCAAGTTTAATGTGCCAATAGAACAAAAATTAGGCAATGGGTGAAGTAACAGAAGCCACGGCGGGCAGGCCGRCGGTCGTAGCTCCTCCGGCGCAATTTCACTCACCGTCGCTAACCCGTTCGCCGTTACTCACCAACGACGACCAAATAGAAACTGTGAGCAAAACTCCAAAATCGTCAAGCCCTAGACCGAGGTTCAACATCACGCCCATCGRAAGTCCGATCAGAAGGGCTCTGAATCTCACGAGGCTCGACCCGCACGACGCCTGGCTTCCGATCACCGAGTCTAGAAATGGCAACGCCTTCTACGCCGCCTTCCACACGCTTTGCTCCGGCATCGGAATCCAAGCCCTCGTGCTTCCCGTAGCTTTCACCATTCTTGGATGGTAATTTAAAAAATGCAAAAACATTTGTCATATTTGCACAACAATTTTTTTTTTTTTTTTGTTATGCAAACATGAAGTACATCGATCCCACTAAAAAAATGATATACTTTCATATTAATTATATATCACCAATCAATCTTCAAATCGGAAATATGATTTTGACTCGAGTAACATTTTCTCCAACTATGAGGTTAGATTCATTATCCTTCCATGTTCTACTAAAAACCATTATCAATGACATTTTTAAGTATTAATAAGATTGAATTTGATGTGTTTATTTGGTTGTAGGAGTGGAGGGATCATAAGCTTGACAGTGGCTTTCATATGGCAACTTTATACTTTGTATTTGATGGTTGAACTCCATGAATCAACACAAACTGGATTGCGTTACAGTAGATATCTTCAGCTCTTTAGCGTAACATTTGGTGTGTATTATATTCTTCATCTTCTCTAAATTCTTTCTTTTTCTTTTATATTTTATTTATGTTTAAGTTTCTTTCGGGTGAAGTTAAACTTTTAGAAACCCCACTTTTCCTCTATTTTAAAACAAAACAAATCCTAGAAAATACAAGTTAAAATTTTTAATTTCCTTGTCAGGCAACGGGCTGTCAAGATTGTTAGCCTTCTTCCCGATCCTGTACCTGTCGGCCGGAACCTGCGTGGCTCTGATAATCATCGGCGGCTCAACTTCAAAGACGTTCTTCAAAATCGTTTGTGGGACTTCCAATTGCAACGCCGATTATTTAACGCCCACCGAGTGGTACTTGGTTTTCACCTGCGCCGCCGTGCTGCTGGCCCAGCTCCCCAACCTCAACTCCATCGCCGGCGTCTCCTTGGTCGGAGCCATCACCGCCGTCGGCTACTGCACCCTGATATGGATCATCTCCGTCGCCAAGGGCAGGCTGCCTGGCGTCTCCTACGATCCAGTCAAGGCCGGTACCAACATGGCTCGAGCTTTCGACGCTTTGAATGCTCTTGGAATCGTCGCTTTTGCTTTTAGAGGCCACAATCTCGTCCTCGAGATACAGGTAACTCCACTGTTAGACACAAAAATTGAAACTTTAAAGATTAGAGACTGAATGACGGTTTGTGCTTTTGTTGGTTGTTGCATGCAGGCAACAATGCCATCGAGTGAAAAGCACCCCTCTCGAGTTCCGATGTGGAAAGGCGTTAAGTTTGCATATTTGCTTATAGCGATGTGTCTTTTTCCTCTCGCCATCGGAGGCTACTGGGCTTACGGTCGAAAGGTATAATATCCTATACTTTCAACATTTTTCTATTCATACCAAAATGATAAATTTAAAAAAAAAAATACTTGATTGAGTAATTAAATGTTTCCCACCTAAGAGAAATAAATAAATAAATTTAGACTTCTTTTGAAATATATAATAAATTGTCAAATATTTAAGAGTAGGAGGACAAAATTGGTCTTCACTGGTGATTAGCCAAGTATTTTTCAATTTTTAAAACAAAGACTTATTTCTCGAGAGCTATATTTCTAAAACGAAAAACTTCGGTTTAAATTTACAGATACCCAAAAATGGAGGCATGCTCACCGCTCTATACGCCTTCCACGCCCGCGACACCTCACAGTTCCTCATCGGCCTAACGAGCTTATTCGTGATAATCAACGCCGTTAGCTCATTTCAAATCTACGGCATGCCAATGTTTGATGCTATCGAAGCATGCTACACAAGGAGGAAGAAGCAGGCATGCCCATGGTGGCTACGGATCATCTTACGAACGATATTCAGCTTCCTGTGCTTCTTTGTGGCGGTGGCGATCCCCTTTCTCGGGAGCATGGCGGGGCTCGTGGGCGGCATTGCGCTGCCGGTGACGTTTGCTTATCCATGTTTCATGTGGCTGAAGATCAAGAAGCCAAAGAAATATGGTGTGGTGTGGTGGGTGAATTGGGTGTTGGGAGTTTTGGGGATGGGGCTGAGTTTGGCCATGATTGCAGCTGGTGTATATGTGGTCATTAATACTGGTGTTGATGCAAGTTTCTTTAAGCCTCACTAAGGAAAGGAGCTGACCCAATTCCTCTAAAGGAGAGGATATATATATATATATATTGATAATTAGGGTTTGTATTTTATGATTTGAGTGTTGAATGTTTTCCAAATTGTAATACTTGAAATGTTAAGTATAAATCATATATATGCTTGTTTGTGTAGGGAGGACAGAGATTATTTCAAAGACAATCAATAATTTGGAGATAATTTTTCATGTTAGCTCTATTGCGGATTTTTCTCCTTTAAAAACAAACAAATGTTTTTTTTTTTTAATCAATCTATGATCGCTAACTTATCCTTACTATCATTTTTTTAAAGTGAAGTACCATTGTTTTATTTTATATATGTATATTCTATTCAAAGTAATCAGAATTATTCAATTCTTTTGTTTTTGAACTTACATATTAGCAACCTTTTTTAGTTTAAATAGATTGGGTGGAGACTTGAGTCTCTCTACYTTAGTGAAGCAGCTGCTTAGCATCAGAAAGCAGCATTTTTAGACGCATTCAAATTTGATGAGGGCATACGTAACTTGATAGATCATAGCACAAGCATCATCCTAAGAAGTAGGTAGAGCTGAGAAAGAAGTTGCCTCTAACTCACCTCTTCCACGTGTCCTTAATTGATTGAGTTATACGACAAATAATAATTTGAATRGGCTAATGTTGATATTTTACAAAAACATAAATAACCAAAAATGAACTAGTTTGGGAGCTCCTCCCATGCAAAGTTCAAAAGGCAACAACATAAAAGAAGGTTTAGATACAAGAGAGGAAGATGACAGAAGTGGTAATTWAAAAGAAAGGCAATAACAAACAAGAGGTACTTACATTACAAAGAGATGAAGCACAATCATAGGAACCAAAATTGGTGRAGAGCTCCAAATTCCAATTGGGACTAAAAAATTTCTAAGTGTAAATGCAAGAATTGTTGAGAGAGTGGAATTTGCCAAGATTCTTAGTTCTGAGAGTGAGTGAGCAAGTAATTGTGGYGTGGAATGTGGACTTCACCAGCTTCCCCAGAATGTAAGCTCTTGACCTCACCGCCACCGTCAGGTTCAGCGGCACCTCCACCCCCTCCTGTCGCTGCTCCCTCCAGTTTCCGATCACCGCGATCCCACCGTACAGYGGCACCTGGTGCCCYGCCACCGCTGTCGCCACCCTCCGAGAGCTCTGCCTTTTTTCGTAGAACTCCATCATCTAATTTAAATATATATAAGTTCAGTTGTTAAAACATCTCTACTTCTTTCTTGTAAGGTTAAACGTTTGATCTCCACCTATATCGTACCATTGCTAAAGCATTATTTGATTCTTTGTTTCATTTCCTTTASTCCCTCTATCGCAAAATTTTAAAGGAAAATGTTTGATTAGTAATTAACATCTATATACCTATATTCAGTTGGAACAAGGATACGAACATATTATACCTAATTTAAATAGAGATTGAAGAAGATAGGATCAATAGCTTAGAGAGGAAAAAAAGAGAGGAGAAAATTTTGAGATAAAGCTCCAATAACGCATTTAGTTTAAATCTGATTTTCATTCCTAAATTTATATTTACTTTAGTTCCTAACCTTAAAAATTAACTATTTTAGACCATCAACGCATAGTTCAACGAATTAAAGTAAATATATCTAACTTATGAAGTTGAGAGTTCGAATCCTCATCCCGATAATCTGTACTAAAAAAAACTTCAATACTTATTATTATTCTACCACATAATATCTAACTATGAAGGACGGCTGGACCAAATTTTACATCTGAATTTTTTATATACAAAATTTTTTAATTTTGAATATTTGAGGGAGAAATTAGAAGGAAAAAAACTATAAAGTCTTGACTTTTTAGATCATTTTTATCATGTCATCGATCTAATACACACCCACGTCAGCACATCAATATACATAAAACTAAAAAAAATAAATAAATAAAAACCTACATTATCCGCCTATTAAACAACTAATAAAAAAGTTTTGAAAGGCTTGAAACAAACCTCATAAAAATTCTAAGGTCCAAATTCATGGTACAATAATCTGTATGATTAAAAAAAAAAGATTGAACCTATGATAATTTAAAATGTGAAAAAAGAATAAAATAGGACAGTTTCCAAAAATCGTCCTTTTTATCTCCAACGGGAAAATTACAAAAGAGACTGCCAGTATGAAAAAGACTACTACTGCTCAGACTTTGCAGACTTCTGATTGCGAATTATAATCGTCCCAGCTCCCAATGTCTGAAAAGTCTCCTCAAATTACCATTCCTCACCCCCATAAAAACCRCTATTTACACTATTCCCCGATCCCCACCACCCTTTTGTAATATTCGAAACCTTAGGGCCAAAACCCGCAACAAAAACACACAAACCTACGAGCTACGATACGATACGACGTGCCAGCCATGCCTAAATGTAATTAAAAAATAAAAATACCTGGCCGGAGGCGATTTGGAGCTGGAAATAGTTGAGCTGGATGGGGGAAGAGCTGACGTGGACACCGAAAAACGTGGCCGGATTTCTGTACTTGATCCTGACCGTCGAATTTAATGACATCAGATCAGTTGCCACTCCCCCCGCATCACTCCCCGCTTGTACGTTAAACCTCTCGAATACCATACTCTGTTCCACAATAAATATAATATAAATATTATCACCTTTTTTATTTTTCCCAACTCAAAACATGCTACTTTTCGGCTTTTCATATATATTTAATAATAACAATTTCCACCTTTTCAGGTACTGAAATTGCCAAAGAATAAATAAACTAACCTATTTAAATCCCATTTGAGTATATTTCCCTTTTTTTTTAATTTCTTTTTCTAGTACAATATAGGGTTTGGTGATTCGAATTCCGGTTGGGGATAAGTGGCTGTAATTTCTCTTCAAACTATGAAATGTATTAATTTAAACTTTTTATTTTTTTATTTTTAAATATTATACTTGTAATTTTTTGCGTATATTTTTACCGCTTATAAGTACATTTAAGTTATTATTAAAAAAATAATTTTTAGATTTCAAATAATTATCTTAAGTTAGAACCACAAGTAGAGAGATTCATACTCCTTTTCTTGGGATCAAAAGTCAAACTTAATACCTCTGATTTATTGTACTAAAAAAATTCATTACCATTCAATACATAAATATTATTCATATTTTCTATAGTTCAATTAGTTTGGAGCTCCAATCCCCCAACATGTTGTTAGAAACTTAGAATTCAAAAGAAAATGTGTATGTATATATATATATTTAGAATAATATGTATACATTTTTTCCCACTTAATGTACCAGCTACAAAACAATTTCTTGTTAACACAAACACTAAAAGCCATTAATGTGCTTTTCACACAAAAAAAAAAACAAATAAAAAATAAATAATAATAATAATAAGCGATTAATGTGTGTAAAACTAGATGAAAAAGTCAAAATTAGAGATGAAAACCAAAATCAATGAAAATAAATTTGCAATGGGGTGTACCTGAAGGATGATTTGGGGGTGGAAGGATCTGCTGGCGCCCCAGAGGATGAGGGAGAACACAGTGAAGAGAAGTACGAATAATAATAATAATAATAAGCGATTAATGTGTGTAAAACTAGATGAAAAAGTCAAAATTAGAGATGAAAACCAAAATCAATGAAAATAAATTTGCAATGGGGTGTACCTGAAGGATGATTTGGGGGTGGAAGGATCTGCTGGCGCCCCAGAGGATGAGGGAGAACACAGTGAAGAGAAGTACGAAGAAAACGAACAAGAACAAGTAAAGCCGGAACTTCCGGGTCCATTCGGAATCGCGGTCGTCGGCGGCGGCGGTGGCGTCGTCATCGTCGTCGTCGGCGTCGGATTCGAGGGGGCGGTGGAGCTTCCTCCAGGCGGCGAGGTTGCGGGKGTTGGGCTTGAGGGAGGCGGAGAAGCGGGAGGTGGAGGACTCGCGGGAGTGGTGGATSGGGGAGGCGTGGTAGAAGTGGTGCGGCGGCGACCCCATCGGGCTCGACCCGTACGACATTTTCTCCACGTCGTGGTTCGACGGGCTCTGCACGTAGTAGAGCGGCCGCCKCGGCGATCGCGCCGGCGACGACTGCTCCACGCTCGTCACCTCCGAGTACGATTTCGCGTGCATCGTCGCCTCCTCACTCTGAAACCGGCGACTCTCTGTTTTTCTGAAACAGGGAAAAATGGGGGTTGTTTTTGACGCGTGGGAGGGGACGGGATCGATGAAAGCAAGCTCACGCGCTTTAGCAGCCGCGTGAGCGCGTGGACATTTTTTTTCCTTTTTTTCTAGTTTTGTTTCCGTGGGAGCACAAGAATGTCGAAGAGTTCCCGGTCTGCTGTCCCCTGTTATGTCCCCTATATTAATTCACAATTAAAGCTGCCAACTCGCTCTCGATCTCTCCATCTTTGGGTCGGGTTGGTTTTTTACCTAGGCCGACATTGGAATCAACTCGATTGATAAAATGAAATAGATTAAGTTTTTAATTGRCCAAGTCCACGAAGTTAGGTTCGAGTGACTGTTGACTCAACTGATGAGCTGRTAAGTAGAAGACCTGTAAAAGAGAAAGCGTTCCAGCGCCTAAGTTAGKGAATGACCCAACCATTTTTTAAAGAGAATATAGTTTCGTGTACCTAAAAATGAGGTGAAGGTCTCTTACTAATAGAAGGGTCTCTGATTCAATGGCTCTTTACAATTATGGAAATCATGACATGCTATTGTGGACTATGTCGGAGATTGATTCGTGAAGGAGTGTCCTCTAATCGGCATGGTTGGTAATCAAGTTGCCACTATACAGGTTGCTAGGTTGGCTCAAGTTGTCAATCAGGTGATTTGATCTGGAAATCAGATGGCCTTATAATTTAAATCTGATATAACGATTTTTGCACTAATTAATCATCTTTATCGTATCAGAGATCGCCAGGTGATCAGTGACACATTACCTTCAACACGTTATAAAATAGAACTAATCAATTAGTATGATTTAGACTAATTAAACCAACTCAATCGAAAATTCATATATAATTTTTTTAGTTTCTCTTTTTTGGTTCAATAATTAAGAGAAAGGGAGTTCGAACATCGATTTTTTTTTCTTTTTAATATAACATGTAGGGGTGGAGAATCGAACTCACGACCTCTTGTGAATTAATAGACATATTATTTCAATTTCTGTAGTTGGGAGAACATTAGAGTTTAAACTTAACCTTGAGAAAAATCAAAACAATGTATCTGTGTTGGACGAATATTAATATTAGGGTAAAAGGAAAACTTTGTTTAAAGGAAATTGGAGCAGGGGGGTGGCCGGCTGGGTGTTTTAGTTAGCTTGAATGTCAATGTTTGTTGGGCCTGTAAATTCATGGGTTGACTGTTGACTTGTTCGGCCGTAGGGCCCATTACCAGCAATTTATTTGCATACTCTTTCAACAATAATTTAATAATAATAACTCGTTTTTCATCCCACATCACTTTTCCATTAACACCAGATTCCTTTCCTTATATTTCATATTTTCTTTAAATAGTTATTAAAACAAAAAAACTGTTCTTATAATTTTATAATTATTATTTACAATCACACCTTTTATGTTAGGTTGGTATATTTCGTTATTTACAACCATTTTTTTAATTAACTCAATTTAAGATGGTACTCATCACCCAATTTACTAGTATACCCTTTTGTACATATGCTTGAATATTAATTAACTTTTAAAATCTAAAATTAGTAAATTGGGAGGTTACCATTTAAATCCCTCCAATTTTACCTAATTAAGACAAATTTGAAAACTCTTCCTTCTCCGATTTTTCTTCTTCCTCTCTTGTTCGAAGACTGCTTCGTTCCGGCCTCTCCTCYGTTCCGGCCATCTACGCTCCTTCGTCTTCGGCCATCTGTGTTCCTTCATCTCTGGCCGTCTGCGCTCCTTCTCTACGACTTTTCTTCATCGTCTCCGACCGTCTGCGTTCCTCCATCTCCGGCTTCGTCAACGTTCTTCGTCTCCAGTCGTCGTCTCTATTATTCTTCATCGTCGGAGTAGTCCTATATTCTTCCTCTCTCGTTCGATTTCCGTCCGCTCCTTCGTCTCCATCCGCCGTCTGCGCTCCTTCGTCTCCATTCGCCGTCTACGCTCCTTCGTCTTCGTTCGTCGTCTCCTTCATCTCGCCGATTGGAAAGTAGTTTTGTCTCACCATGATATACTTTTCATTCCAATATATCCTCCAAGTTTTTTTTATTTCAGATTTGAACAATGTTGAAAACTCATTGTTTTTTTTTGTACTATTAAACCCCAACCATACACATATATATTCAATGGTTTTTTTTCAATTTATGATTTTGTATAGTTTAACGCTCTATTTTTGTACGCACCTAGATTTCAGTAGTGTAAAATGTAGGTGTGAACTAGTGTATATCTAGGAATACATCTTATAGTGAGTTTGATTTCATCGCTTTGTCATCAGTATATATGGGGATATATGGGATATATCTTATAGTGTATACATTTAGTTCCATAATATTTATAGAAATACAAATCATTGACATTGATAAAATCGGCATTTAAAAAAATCCTACGTGGAGAAATCTAAAACTGTAAAATTGGAAAATTTTAGACATTTATGTAAATAAGTTTCTAAAATAAATCTCTGAAGATATTATCTGTTTTACAGATCAAAATCCAAAGAGCTCGACTCCTCGGCTCGGTCCGTGGGCCTATGCCCAAAAACTTGATTCACCGCGTTTGGCCCATGGGTCGAAGCGTAGAAGATTGGTGCTCAGTTATTCCACCTTCTAGATATTTACTTACTCTGTTTTATTTTACCCCAACAAACCTCATCTTTCACGTCCAAATTCAAATTCTTGAGCCATTTTAGGTAAGGGTTGAAACTTAAAATAAACTACTCAAATAAGAGAGTACGAACGCTGATGAAGCTTCCTCATTTTTTTTTAATCAATAATAATAATAATAACCAAAAAAGTCTTCTTTAAATACACATATTAGAAAGAGGCCTTCTCAAAGCCCACCATTACTGGATTGGGCTTGGGCGTCTTCAAACTCCTTAATCAGATCAGGATCCACATTATCCAACGGCTCCCACGTGGCGTCCTCAATATCCGTCCATTTCACAAGATACTCCATCTTCCCGTCGTCCCCCATCCTCTTTCCGGCCACCGCCTCCGCCACCGCGTACTCCAGTCCGGCCTCGAAATCCGCCACCAAATCCGCCGCAATCAGCCCCGCCTTCACCCACTCGTTGTCTTCCCCATCCTTCCACTTCACCAGATACTCCAAATTCTCCCCCTTCCCCCTCTTCTCCAGCAGCGCCTCCACCTCCGCGTACTCAAACACCGCCTTCTCCAGCGCTCCGACCACCCTCTCCAGCCCCATCCGCCGCCCGAACTGAATCCTCGGCGTCGCCTTCAGAATCTCCCTCGCCAGTTCCAGCGCCGTCCGCCCCTTCTCGTCCTCTACTTCCGGATATGCTCCCAGATCCAGTAATTGCTCCACCGCCCCCGGCTTCACGTACCCGGCCGCCATGTGCAGCGCCGTGAACCCGCCGCTGTTGTCGCGGTGGTCCACGTTCGCCCCGCCCTCCGCTAACATCCTCACGCACGCCTCCGATCCCAGCCCCGCCACGAACAGCAGCGCCGTCCTCCCGTCCTCGTCGACTGCGTCCAAATCGCGCCCGTCCGCCGCGTCTATCAGCGACTTGAGCGCGGATTCGTCGGCCTTCTTCGCGGCGGTCCACCACGGCGTCTCGTACTCCGCCACCACGTCTCTGGCGATGAAATCGGACGGCACCCAGGACGGGGCGTGACCGTCTTTCCATGCGATTAAATACTCCATTCCGGAGCCGTCCTGTAGCGCTCGGCTACCGATGATTCCGTCGACTTCGCCGTAAGTTTCATCCTCGTTGAACTTCCCGGCGGAAATCGCCGCGTTGGATTGCTGTGCTAATCGTTGGTCGTTTTGGACTGCGCAGGCGCTGAATTTGAGATTGCGATTGGGAATTCGAGAGGGGTAGAGGGGAGGAAGAGGGCTGGATTTGGGGGAGATTTTGAGGCGGGAAATGGACTGGTTGAGGAAAAGGGCATCCATGGGAGGAGCAAGCGGTGCTGCAACAAACAACAAAGTGCGGTTTAGTGGGGAAGAAGGAAGCAACGGTGTCGTTTTTCTATGGTGGGGTCTGGAAAATCTGTGAAAGGGAATTTGAGGATAAGAAACGGCATCCGATTAGTGGCTCTGAATTTCATTTGGCAATGGGATTTCTATCTTGTAAGTTTCGTACACTACCCTACTACCCTACCCAGTTCTTCTTCTTCTTCTTCTTCTTCTTCTTCTTCTTCTTCTTGTGCTATTTCGTTTATAATCTGATTACATTACTGATTTTATTTTAATCCCTGTGAATTTTGACTCGGTCTTAAACGTTTCAATTTGGTTAAATCTTATAACTAGTTTTTGTTACTGGATTGGATGAGTTTTCTATATATGTATGGAAATGAGGTAGCACTTCTTATTTGGCTAACTGTATTTTTGCACATTATATTATGTGGGTTGGGATAAACTGACTCAAATACCCATCCAAACTAAGTTGGTTAAAGAGGGTAGAAGACGACCCTCCACGTGGCAAGAGAAAATGTCTTAAAAAAAGTATGAGGTAAAAGACCTCACAAATAGTGGAACAATCTCTTCGGTAATGTCTTATAACTTCCAACTGGATTGGACCTCACATGCTATGGCTGAGCATCGGTCGGTTGGGGTTGGGTTTTGGCCGATGTCCAATACAAAAAATCGACTGTTTACCTGGATGAATTGGTGCTGATCGAGTTGACTGTCGATTCGGTCGGTCAATTTGTCAGAAAACCGACGATGCTTTTTTATTTCTCAATTCCCTTTTTTAATTTATTCTCATATCTTCTGATCAATTTCTCTTCTTTGTACTGTTATTCATTATTGTTTCCATTCAAGTTTAAATTCTCTTCCATGTAGTGTTCTCAGGTATTCATGAGACATTTTAGACTAATCAATAATTACCACCCAAGTAAGCAACTAATCCACATTCTAATAATTTAAATAAAATAAGAAGACGACGTGAGGAACGACAGCAAAAATTGGAAGGAGGAAGAAGAAGACGTGAGAGACGACTGAAGGTGAGGAAGAGAATAGTGTGAGGGGTGAGGGTTTCAAACCTAATGTCTTAAAACATAAAGATAAAACTAAAAAATAAATTTAATAGGTATATTATTGTGGGTCGGTGAGTTGATCGTAATTTGGACTTGTTGATTTTTATTTTTCAGAATGGATGGACCAAGGTTGGGTCAGTCAGATGGTTTTTGGATCTCTTTGTTCACCCCTATCACATGCTAACAATATATAAATAGGATTAATAGCTGGTCTTGAAAATACTCTATTAGTTATGTTACTAGATTATATTTTTTGAATTATGAATTGATATTATATTAGTACAAATAGGTTATTAGATTTGTATATATTCTTATTTGTTATTTTTTTCTATTTTCTCTCATTTCCTAAGATTAACACAATAAAAAAAAATATCGCTGACTGTAGTATTGGAGATTGATTTCCCTGTTAAAAGTTCACATTGGAACACCATCTAAACACATAACTCAAACCAATTTGAATGGAGATGAAATTAGTAATAATCTCAAATTTTGATCTTTGTTTACATTTTGGGTATGTGTTTGACAATTCAGGCCAACGATGGTGGTGAATGTGAATGGGCCGTTGTATGTCTAGGCCCAATTAGTATTACACTTTCTTTTTCTAGGGTTTATGTTTCCTTCGGTTGCCCATATGAGGATTAAGCTTCCTACGATCATTTTGGATTTATGACTCTCAAAATTGTTCTAATGGGTGACATTTTCCACTTTTTATTTTGTAAAATTATCAAATTATCCCTATTTTTTTAAAGGAAAATTATCCACAATCTCTCCCCCTAACCCTCACAATTTTTTTTAATGTGTATCTAATATGGAAAAAAATCCATGCATAAAATCCTTCAATAAATAAATTACATCCTCCAACAACTAAATTAGGGTGAAAAAAGATTTGCATGATCAAGAATAAATGTATAAGATTTGTCCGGATTTAATTACAAAAAGTCAAGATTTCATAAATTTTGAATTGCATTAAATGTAAGAGGGAAAAAAAACTGATAATAGTCTGGTTCGGGATTATGCAATCTCGGTCCGGATTTGTTCAATCCTGATCCAGGCTCCGCCAATCCGATTGTGACCCACACAACTTGTGGATTGTAATAAGCGCCCCTCACGAGTACCGCTTCCATCCAAATTTGCAATTGGTTTGCTCATAGAGGAGCTGAAACGTAAGTTTTTCAACAACTCTGTTGTGATATTAATCACTACTTATAATAAGTCCAACAAGGTTACATTACCCTAGATCTGAGTTTATCTCTAAACGATTAAAATGAATAATCAAATTGAGTTATTCCAATCACCTAGTAGCTTAAAACAAAGCATAGTCAACTATAGATTATCTACGTCCACTTTAGCCACCTCACTAAATCCAATTAGCATTTGACCAATTCTGCGAACCTCGGCTCGGATGTAGGATGATTTGATAGACAAGCTGCAGAAGACACTCCGATGCCAAAGTCAGTATCTAATTGAGCTAAATTCGGGAGAGAATCTAGTGTTCGCGTACCTGAAAACGAGGTGAATGAGTTTTATTTATTGGCAACTCTCCTAGTAGTGTCTCCGATAAGACATCAACGACTCTTTAAGGTGGTCGTGAATCACGGTATGTTGTTGTGGAGTCTGTCAGAGACTGGCACTGAGCCAAGGTGAAGCTAGTCAGTTCAACCAACAAATGGGAACAAGACTTCAATGAAGCTTAGTTGGCTCGCCCGCACAAAGCGTCGGCTCAATCCAAGGAGATGAGACCGAGGTAACGAAACTTAAGGCTTATCAGCTAAAGCCACGTGTAACTTTCATTCCCCAATCAATATGGTGCCACGTGGGAACTGAAAATCACCTCCAACAACAAACAAGAAAGAATAAGAAGTATTCTAGCACAATTTCTGCCATTGCAGACCCAATTTCTTAGATGACTCACAATTACCCGCTATATTAAATCCCCAAGTTACAAAGAATTCTCACACTCTCAGCCAACTTTTTGAAAAGTAGAGAAAATTTACAAGTCTATGAGAGGAGAAAACTCCTCTCAACTCTCATCTTCATTTCATCGAGCTCCATTCTTCTACAGTATTCCTCAAGCTATTAACAAATGTGAGTTGGACAAAAAATGGCTGATATGAGTGAAGAGTAAAGCATAAAGCTGATGTGAACTTTATTCCTTTGGCTGAATACATAGAAATACTGAATTGAGTTATAAAAAATATCAAAGTCAATGATCACAACTACCAAGGCCCGTTTCATAATCATTTCCTTTAACGTTTTCGGTTTTTTGGTTTTTAGTTTTTCAAAAACAGGGTTGTTTGATAACCAATTCAATTTTCTATTTTTTGTTTTTTAAAAATCATTTTAAAATTTTATGTAAATTTCAAAAAAAAAATATATAGTTTTCAGAAACAAGTTTTTGTTTTTCAAAATCTCATTTTTCTTTTAATACTCAACTTTTTTTTTCTTTCTGATATTTATCTCTAAAAAAAATTATTTTTCACTCTAATTTTTTTTATTTCTAAATTTCTCTCTATAAACTTTATTTTTCTCTCTCTAAAATTTTGAATATTTATTGCTATTTTTTTTCTAACATGGCAGTTTCATTTCTCTCTCTTCAAATTTAATATTTTTCCTAATTTTTTCATCTCTAAAATTTCATATTTTATAACTTTTCTTTCTCTTCGTAATCTATTTTTCCTCTAAAAATTATATTTTATTTTCCCGTTTAATTTTCTTAACTTTTTTTTTATCTTTGTATTTATTTATTTTCTATGAAAATTATATTTTAAATCTTGTTTTTATCTCTAAATTTGTTTACACTATAATTTTTCTCTTTCTTTATATATTTATTTTTTTCTCCAAAATTTTTCTTTTTTTGTCTTTAATTTTCTTTCACTATTTTTTTCCTAAATATTTTTATTTATTTTTCTAAAATTGATCTTCCAAAAGTTTATTTACATCTCTATTTTCATGTCTCTACATTACGCGAAGACAAAAATTTGCGCGGGATCGGGTCCCAAAAATAGAAATGTATGTCCCGACCCCGCCTCATCCCCGATTCCATTTTTTAAATAATTAATATATATTTATTACACTTTTTTTATCCTTAAATTCTAAAAATAATTAAAAACAATTATAAAACCGATAATTTTTCTCGAGAACATCTCTCGGACCCAAGAACGAGGTGGAGACGGAGACTAAAAATTTTCACGAGCCCGAGAATTGGGGAGAGCATCCTCACTCATACCCACACCATTGTCATCTTTAGTCTACATATAATTTTCTCTCTCTAATATGTATTCTCAATTTTCTAACTTTTTAAAAACAAAAAACAAAAAATGGTTATCATATATGGTTTTTGTTTTTTAAAAACAGAAAACCAAAAACCAAAAACTAAAATGGTTATCGGGCCCTAACAAATTCAGGTCTGATTTATTCTTTTTTTCTCAAAGGATCTATCCTTCAAACATATTTTATTCTGAATGATGTTTGACATTTGATTAATACTTATGGTGTGTTTGGGAGTGATGGTAGAATGAGTGATTTTGAAAAAAAGATATTAATCGATTTTCTAAAATCACCATCCAAGTAATACTTTAAAAATCAATCTAAAGTAATTTTAAACTTTGCTAAATTTTTTTTATTTGCCAAACATGATCGATGGAAAGGGGAGGTGATTTTGACAGTGATAAAAGTAATTTTGACCATGCCAAAATCACTCCCAAACACACCCTTAGTCTTTTAGAATATAATAGCTAACCTAGCTACAAGATTACACTATTTTGCTACTCTTAAAAACAAAACTAAAAAACAAGCATTATCACATTGGAACTAAGCTTTAGAGATGGTAGATTCCTCGAGTGATTTTGGCAGGACCAAAGTCACTTTTGCGAATTCACTTGTCTTGTGGCAAATTAAAAATTGATTTAATTAGGAAAGTATAAAATCACTTTAAATTGATTTTTAAGAAATTATACTTAAATCTATTTCTTCAAAATCACTCATTCTACCGTCACTCTCAAGCACATCCTCAATATCATGCACTCTCAATAATAAGAAAATCCTTGCTCCCGAAACATTACTTATCCCCCCAATCCTTGTCGAAATATTCATTTAGAGGCGGGGAGATTTGTGGGAAATTTTATCATGCTTATCATCTTGCTTTTTTTTTTCAGTCTCCCCTTTATCAAACACATGTCGAGACAGATAGAGGAACTGCTCATATTAAGTAAAAGTTAAGTGCAAAACACTTTCGTTCTCTCGACAGTTGAGAATTGAGATTGGAGAATGCATTTACGGTGGTGCCTATGAAATTAAAATAGTCATCTCTTCACTCTAGTTGGATCAATTTTTTCAATTGAATTGACAAAAATATATTTGTTGATCAGGTTTGGTGTCTAGATTTAGATCTCACCCCATTCCTTCAATAATTACATTATGCATTTGTTAAAAAAGAAAAAAAATCCAACTAAGTTTCATATTGAGTTGACTTTTCAAAACGACGCAGTATTCAACTAAAAATAGAAATACACGAGAAACTGTTGTGTGCGTCTCCTCTACACCCGATCACAGCTTCCGCGTTCATCAAATTCCGCACTCCCTACGTCTCTCCTTCCATCTCAACCGTCCGATAATCTCCGGCACCGTCTGATCATCCGCCAGCTGGAAAGAAGGCGTGTTTGGCTGTGTATTTTCCGGCACATGAAAATTCCGTGTGTCGCGTCAGATTTCACGGGCATTTCCACGGCCCAGCCCAACCAAACGCGGCTTTGTAATTTATTTTCCTTTTTCTTTATTTTTATTATTTCTTTCCAAAGTCGCCTTCCCACTGTCGTTTTATTTAGGAATTAGATCACATTCTCCTATTCTCTAATCAATATTCATTCCCTTATGTGGCGCCTCCCTATTGGCCGCTGTACCTTTCCCATTTTGCGCCTCCACTGACCACCGCTTCCCCAGTTCCCCTAATCACTCTCTTGATTTTTACTCTCATTTTCTCTATTACAAAATAAATAAATAAATCAGTATTTGTCCTTTTTTTATTCATAAATAAAATTACATCAAATTTCAGATTGGAATTGTCATGTAATATATTAGCACACTTCGCAACAATTTCGTTCTCACAATTTTGTTGCTATATTTTTCACATTAGTTTCTAAAATATTTTTTTTAATATTTAAAATTTAGTTTAGATTTCGAAAACGTTTAGAAAAATAGATAACAAAACATATTGATATAAAGAAGTAGTGTTTATAAATTTTTTTTTTCTACAGTGTTTATAAACTCTTTCTAAAAGATAAAATATTAAATAGTTATAAAACACAAACTTAAATTATTTAAAATAATACAATGATACATTAATCATTCAGTTTGACTTTAAAATCTATTCAATAGTGTTAATAGTAGATCTAGAAATTCATTTTAAAAATAAATATAATATAATTTTGGTAACATGTGATGGTCAAATCAAAAGTTAAATTAACTAAAATCCATGCACACTAAAGTCAATATTTTAGAATTAAATGTGTATTTAGTTCTTTCCCTTTTTTTTTTTGTTTTCATATACCTGAATGTAACAACAAATTTAAACGAGTAAAAATGTGCTAAATAAATAAAAAGTAAATTGTCGAATTACAAGAGTGCTCGTAGCAAATTAAATCACACAAATTCTTAAGAAAAATATAAAGTTAAGTATTAACTGCACCATTAATTAATTCAAGCTTTAAGATTTAAGCCAATGAAATCGAAAGTTTAAATTTAAGTTAAACACAAAGTTAGTATCAGTATTTTCAACTTTGATTCATTTTACTCAAACTTTAAAAATGTTCAATTTTGTTCCTTTGTTTTTGAAAAGGGACCATTTTAGTTCCTTAATTTTATTTTTAATCTAATTTTTCTATCACAATTTCAACACAATACTACAATCAATATATTTCTTAAATTGTAATCAAATTAAAATGATCAAAAACTGAAAGTACATTGACTAGAATAATATTTTAACTTTAAATTTAATATTTACAAAACTAAAATAAATCCATAAATTAGAAGAAAACACTGCAATACACTAGAACAAGAATTAAAAAAAATATATATTAACCATAATACATGCTAATTAAAAATAAAAAAAAAGTTATCCAAATCTAAAATTAAGGTCAAATTTGGACATAGTGGTCTGAATACGCTCGCGGCTGCAGCCTACCATACTTCCCCTCTCTTTCTTTCTATTTATTTATTCAATTTAAAAATCATTTTAATATTTGGAAGTGGGGTTCGTGTTCGGGTCGGGTCCGGGCCGGGCTCGGCTTCGCCCTCCACAGTCCTCCACTTTAAATAAGCCATTTGGTTCCATCTGCAGTTACCCACTTCAGAGTTATTCAAACCTCAAAAACCCATTAAAACTCTCTCTCTCCTCTCTCTTCCTTTAAAAATCCTTCCCTCTCTTCCAAACGCCCATCAGATCAGACCCATTTATTTTCTTTCCTCTGCTAATTAATTTTCTCGGAATCCAAACATGGTTGAAATCGTTGCTCAGAGAACACCCAAATTATGGTGCTTCATTGTTTTCTGGATGTCAGTGATGATCAACATTGCATTCTCCGATAGCCCGTATAGATTCTTCGATTGGAACGTCACCTACGGCGATATCTATCCTCTCGGCGTTCGTCAACAGGTTTTTTTCTAAAATACAATTTAAGTTTTTAAGTTGAGCAGTGATTTATTTATTTTAATTTTATGTGATTTTGTAGGGTATTTTGATAAACGGACAATTTCCGGGACCGGATATCTACGCAGTTACGAATGATAATCTTTATATCAATGTCCATAACAGTCTCCCGGAGCCATTTCTTCTCTCTTGGTTCGTTTCTCTCTCTATTATTGTTTTTTTTTTTTTGGTTATGAGAGAGAGAGGGCAGAATAGTTTTGTGATGAAGAAAGGAATGTCGTCGTCATTAAGGTTATTTGAATGAGTTATGACTCCAAAGCAGAGTTTCAATCACAATAAAGACAGCTCTGTTTATTCACTGTTTCTTTTTCTTTTTTCTAATCCGTTTTTAAACTTGCTTTTCATATTTTTCGTCTTGGGAAAATGAGTTTTAAAAGTTTTTTCTTTTTCTTGAAAAATGTGGAAATGAAATGAAAGGAACTGTGAGGGAATTTAGCTTTGTTTTTTTTTTTAATATGAAAGACTAAAAACAAAACTGATTAAAAAAAAAAAAGAAATACATGGTAGTGGTATTTATAGATGTAAAGTTTTCTTTTTCCTTTTTGTTGAAATATTACGATAATAAGATATCATATTTTATGGAGGGAATAGGAAATATATATTTGCATAGCATAGATTACTTCCGATTTAAAGATACTCATGGAACAAAAAGTAATGATTTTTTATAAATATATATTTGTTTTTTGCTATTTAATGTAATTTTCATATTTTCTTTTGATTTTTTCTTTAGTACAATGTGTGGGAGTGAGAATCAATTGGAATCCAGACATCTTGACGGAGATATATGTCTTTAATTCATATTTTATTTTGATTTATTTGCATATTTATGTATTAATGACCATATTACAAAATAGAAGCTAGATTCCAATTTTGATATCCCAACCAACACGTGAGAATAATATTTTCAGTGTTTTAACTCTAAACTCTAAAGTCGCTTTAAAACTTTTATTAATTTTTTTGCTTCGGGAAAACGAAACCGCGGGGAGTGGCGTTTTCTATCATCTAACTGCCAGCTGGAATATGGAAGGAAAAAAAAAAAACTCAAACAAACAGTTGGGCTTTGGGCCAAATTTGATTTCGAGCCCACTGATTTGGCCCATCAAATAATTAATTACTCTGTTTTTTTTTTCTTTTTAAAAAATTAAATGTAGGAGTGGAGTTCAACAAAGGAAGAATTCGTACCAAGATGGAGTGTACGGAACGACGTGCCCAATTCCTCCGGGGAAGAATTTCACATACAGAATTCAGGTGAAGGATCAGATCGGAAGTTTCTTCTATTTCCCCTCTCTTGCCCTCCACAAGGCCGCCGGCGGTTTCGGAAGCATCAGAGTCCTTAGCCGCCCCCTCATTCCGGTCCCCTTCCCGGACCCCGCCGGCGATTTCACCCTCCTCATCGGTGACTGGTACACCACCAACCACAAGGTCACTAACACTTCAACTTTCCACACTATAAATTGTTATGAGTAATTTTGGATGATTGAATTTGATGGAATTGTAATGGAGAAGGTTACGTTGTTTTCTGATTTCGAGGTTTTTGTTCTGTTGTTTGTTTTGATCAGACATTGCAGACCATCTTGGATCGTGGTCACAGGCTCCCTTTCCCTAATGGAATTGTTATCAATGGCCGTGGTCCGAACGCTACCACTTTCACCGTCGAGAAGGGTAATTTGAGATTTGAACTTGAACTCGCTTCTCTATGTATATCGTCTTGTGTGGCACGGGATAATTTGGGAAGTGAAATAATGGGATTCTTTTTGTTGCAGGTAAAACTTACAGGTTCAGAATATCGAATGTGGGGCTGGAGCATTCGCTCAATTTCAGGGTTCAAGATCATGAGATGAAGCTTGTTGAAGTTGAAGGCACTCACACAATGCAGAATACTTATTCTTCGCTTGATGTTCATGTGGGTCAGTCTTATTCAGTGCTCATCACTGCGGATCAGCCGTCTCGTGACTTCTATATCGCGGTCTCGACACGGTTTGCTTCCAAGATCCTCACCTCCACTGCCATCCTTCACTACAGCGACTCCACCACCTCTGTTGCTGGTCCTATTCCGGGTGGTCCAACCAATCAAATCGATTGGTCGCTTAATCAGGCTCGTTCCATCAGGTATTGTTGTTTATGGAATTCCCTCCTTTTGGCTTGCTTCTTGTGAAACGTTGAACTTCCATGAATATTTGACTGAATCAACCAACTTGCTTGCTGTTTGAGAAACAAGTGATTATTGCTTTAGAATTTATTGAAGTTGCAGTTTTGGCAACACTTCAAAATTATATGCAGATTGTACTCCTTGATCTTCGGGATAATGATACATATTTATTTCTTTTTTGCCTGCAGGACTAATCTCACTGCAAGTGGACCGAGACCAAATCCACAGGGCTCGTATCACTATGGCCTGATAAATGTTTCCAGGACAATTAGGCTGGAGAGTTCAGCAGCTCTTGTCGATCGCAAGCAGAGATATGCTGTTAACAGTGTGTCTTTCATTCCTGCTGACACTCCTCTTAAACTTGCGGATTACTTCAACATTAATGGTGTTTTTCGCATTGGAATTATACCAGATTTTCCATCTAGAAAGAAAATGTACCTTGACACCTCCGTCTTGGGTGCTGATTATAGAGCCTTTATTGAGATTGTCTTCCAGAACCACGAGAACATTGTACAGAGTTGGCACCTTGATGGATACAACTTCTGGGTTGTTGGGTAAGAACCGTTTCATTATTAAATCAAGCAACATAAAATGTATTTTGATAGAATAATCAAGTTTAGATTTATTTGTTTGAGTGAAATTAGCTATCACTGTAAGCTAGTATTCTGTAAATTAGTCACTCAGACATTAATTTATTGTTGCAGAATGGATGGAGGAGTTTGGACTCCTGCTAGCAGAGAACAGTACAATCTCAGAGATGCAGTTTCAAGGTGTACCACTCAGGTATGCTATCTCCTCTTTCTAGTCTTAATTTTTTTTACAATTATGGAATCACATCACGTCCATCGCGTTCAGTTTAGAATCTGATTCTAACCATAAGGTAATTAAATTTTTATTGGTCCATTGTAGGTGTACCCAAAGTCGTGGACTGCCATTTATGTTTCACTTGACAATGTTGGAATGTGGAACATAAGGTCAGAGTTCTGGGCAAGACAATACCTTGGGCAACAACTTTATCTCAGAGTTTACACACCAGTTAAGTCCTTGAGGGATGAGTACAATATTCCAGATAATGCTCTCCTTTGTGGGAAGGCTGTTGGCAGAAGCACAATATCTCCATAAATAACTGCTGTCAAAGATGTACAGCACATTCTTTCAATTGAGCTTTGGGTTGGCAAAAATCCTATTTGCACCCGTCTACAGTATTTTTCTAAGCATATTTTAACGGCATTTTGTTCATCTTCTGTAATCTGGCATTCTTCCTCTGGTTTAGTTTTGCTTCAAATTACAAAGTATCAGTATGCAGTAGAAAGATAAAGGAGAGGCACATGTACGGCTAACCTGTTTACAAAGTCATAATGGTCTTGGAAAAATTTCAGCCATGTGTTTCCCCCTCTTTCTTCTTCCTTGCTGTAAACTTGCATTGTAATTTGAACAAAACGAAAAAGATAGGGAAAAAGGAAAAAGAAAATGTATTAGAGAGGAAGATGGCAACTTCAGTAGTTCATTTCAGAAAGAAGTTGCTCATAAATTACTGTGAATTATTGTACCCCAATAAGAATAGTGCTTGATATCCTTTAATCATTATTTATTTTTTAAGGTCATCCAGGTTCCATTTTTCTCTAACCCCCACCCCCACCCCAATGTAACTTCTATCTTCTGTTTTCTGAGGAATAAGAATAATACTGTTTGTTTGAATTGAATTATTTCATATCTGTTCAATCTTCATCAATATCATCAAGCTGGCACAAATATCTTCATTCACTTGTGGTCATTCTAATCTAGGTGTAAAGTTGTGAAGTAAAAAGACGATGACAATCAAACTAGGCATGTAGTTGATTTACATGAGATCGTGTAGATTAAAACTTTTGTTGTATATATTCTCTTATTTTGATAAATTTACAAAGCCAAATCATGAGAGAAGAATTATATATTACCAAACGTTATAATATCTCTATCAGGGTATCAGGTGGTTCATGTTTAGCATTCATATGTTAGTCTTTATAATTTCATTATGTGACATTTAAGTTATCAGAAAATCCATAGTTCTGGTCGGTTCTGGCAGGTTCTTGCAGGGCTGATTCTTCATTTTTCCATAATCCCATCTCAGCTTTGGGAGCCAGCACAGTAAGAAGCTCTTCTCTCCCTCTCAGCATCTTTTTCAGGTACTCTGGTTCTTCAAATAGCTTCACTATCTGCAATGTGTTGTATATCACAGTGTTAGCTCTGACAAAGAGAGGTTTAATACAGGGGAAGAGAATTTTTACAGTTTCCATTGTTGGTCGTCTCGATGAAGAGTGCAAAAGGCAGAGGCGGGCGACAATCATCATCATTTCCATCTCTTCATGGTTGTAGTCTTCCTTCAAATATGGATCAATTAAATGCTCAGCTAAGTTGCAGCCTAATAGGGACCTTGCCTGCGGGTTGATACGATGAATATATCATAAATGTCAATTGTCAAGTAGATTAAGGAACCTCCATCAGAAATAACCCTAAAGATAAAGCTTCAGTTCATTTTCTTACCCAGAAAACTAAGCTTCTACGGTTTGTCTGGTCTGGCTGAATTGCATGTTTCCCAGTGATGAGTTCCAGAAGCACAACGCCATAGGAATAAACATCGACTTTCTCATCAACTTTTCCATACATCAAATACTCCGGGGCCAAGTAGCTGAACCTCCCAAAGTCAACTTGCGTTGAGTTATCTTGCACTGCCTGAAGTAATATTGCTTCTCCAAAGTCTGATAACTGAAAATGTGAGAATTTACAGAACATGTTTCAGAAAGCAAAACACAAACTTGTATCAACATAATATCTCAAAGGATAGCGAAACAGGAACTGACTTGTGGTTGACATTGTTCAGATAGCAGAATATTGGATGATTTTATGTTTCTGTGAATGACAGGAGGGCTGCAAGTATGATGAAGGTACTTCAATGCCTTAGCCACCCCGATTGCAACTCTCACTCTCTCAGTCCATCTCAGTTTTCTCAAATGCTGCTTCAAGTTTCCTTTCAACCGGTAGTACACCACCGCTCGGATCTCCTCACGGTTACAACACCCTACAATCTTAACAATGTTTTCATGTTTCAGGACAGCCAACATCTCAATCTCGTGAAGCAAATCTTCCGACGAGAACTGTTTGGTCTGAACCTTCACTGCTACAAACTGCCCATCCTCGAGCTTCGCGCTATACATTTTAAAGCGCGCACCCTCTCCAATCAACATCACAGGGCTGAAGTTCTTGGTAGCCAAAGCAATCTCCTGGGGTGTGAAGAGCCTGATGGAAGGCTTCAAATCAACACTGCGCCCCGTCTCCGGTGTGAACGCGGGAACTTGAGATTCTTCTGGTGGCATGGATGGTAATGGTGAGGAAGAAGAAGAAGATGGTGATTCAGTCAACGGCTGTGGTGAAGGGTGGGTTGAAGATGGTTGAATGGTGTTTGTATGTGATGGGAGAAGAGGTTTGAAGATTGGCCTTGTGGAGCCTTGTTGAGAAGTGCCCTGCATTTGGATGTGGATTTTTCCTCTGTTGTCCATTGCCAGGAGGGTGCAGGTTGGGGGCAGCCCTTTCAAGCATGTTTTTACTACTGAATCTTTGGGACTGCATACCTAATTATAGCTCATGAGAAGAAGAGGTGGGAGGGACTAAATTGCTAAAATTTTATCTCACAATGTTCTCATTTTGATGACATGTTCATGTTCATCATCACGAAAACCTCTTAACCTTAAATAAGTTATTGGATAAATTTGTATAAAAGAGTTTCTATACTATACTGTACATTTGTTTAAACTTTGATAAATACTTTTTTTAGTACGATATGTGGGTGCAGGAGATCGAACTTACAGCCTCTTCATTACTGTTGAACTACGTTCGTTTCGACAATTTCGATAAATATGCGGACAAATGTGTATTAAAAATGTTTTATTGGTTCTTAAAATAGTATTTCTTAATTTCATTCGAAAATGGACATTTTAATATTATTTGATAATAACTCCAAACTCAAAATCGCAAACCAAATACTCATGACTCATGGTTTTAAGTCAAAAGTTAGATAAAAGTTAAAACACAAATTCTTTTCTGTTTTTGAGCGTAAGAAAAATGATTTTTAATTTAAAAACACTTTTGCTAGATAGGTACTTATAAAGAAATTAAACTGAAATGAAATAGTGTTTGTAATTTGTCTGTAATAAAAAAAAATCAAATTTATAAGTAATTTTGAAACTAGTTTGGTTTTTCTTGCTCACTTCTCAATTTTTTTTTTTATAAAAAAATTTGCGTTTATATATTTTTTTTGATATATGTGGCAGTAAAATAAGAGAGATCTTGTATTTAAAAAAATCATGATAGGATATAATTTAATACTAAAATATGCAAACGAATATATGAATCCGTGTAGTTCATAAGTAATAATTTCTATAAAATAATTGATTGTTTATAATCAGTGATCTTTTTCATTAAAAAATAAAATGGTGTGTGTATATTATTATTATTCTTACACATTACAACAGTTCTCAAAACTGAAAAATAAATATAAGTTAATTGCAATTTTAATCCTTTTATCTGCTCTAATCTTTAGTATTATTTTTTAATAAATTAAAAAATAATAATAATAAAAAAGAGTGATGTAACAATTATTTATACATGAGGTACGTGAGTTACATGATGTAACAATTCGTTTTAAATTCTGGATAATATTTTTTCAAGTACTATACTTGGAAGTTGGAACTGAATTAAATAAAAATAGTATGGCGAACTTGAAATTTCATACCCAGAAGAGCTGCTTCCAAGAACAAGAATGGTCGCAAAATTCAGTCGAACTTGACGCGTCAATTCTGAAATATACGAATCGCCTTCGCAAATCCTCACTTGAAAATCCACCTGCGAGTGAACAGGTTAAACCACTTCAGTTTCGGTTTCGATTTCAATTTCAATTCGATTCCCGATTAAGAAACTAGGGTTTTTTTTTTTTTNTTTTTACCTGCTTCGATTTGCAGAGATCTTCATGGATATGGAAAGTATTGGGATCGAAATTGTCATTGGGCTGTTGAACGTGGACCGCGAGCAGATTATCCCCAGGTTTCACGACGACCACAAGTAATCGGAGTAGAATCTCCCTGCCGGAGTTGGCAGAGTCGAGGCCGAGGATGATCCTTCTCTTCTTGCTCGCCGCCGATTTGGTCCTCACCAGCGACAGCATTTTTCAGGTCACTCGCCGGAGACAAACTCGAAAACCATCGCTCCGATTGGATTTGAAGAGCCTGAAGCTCTGCTCTGGGTTTTAATGGCGGATATGTGGTGGTGGATAAAACAGTGAAGTGGATTGAATTTGAAGTAGCTGAAATTTCATCAATCTCTGTTTGAGGTATGAGGAAGGCCCTTCAAAGTTCAACGGGACAACACAAACCTTCCCTTAATGAGGTATTCCTATTTTTAGAACTAATAATTTTGTTTGCAATACATACAAATAAAATACGACTTTAAATTTTCATTTATATGCGCAACAAAATATTAAAATAAAATATTCAAAACAAAGAAAAAGCTCACTCGTTGGCACTGATGTGATTACTCGTCCCCTACCACCAGCCTCCACTGTTTCCTTAGTCCTTTGCTTTTATTAAATTCATTATTAAAGAATAAATATTTACAACTATATACTATTCCATTATTTCATTTATTTCATTCCCTTTATTTGATCAATCGCTCCTAAATTATAAAATTATAATATTGAGTTGCAGTTAGAATTTTCAATTTCATCAGTGACATTTTGAACTTAAAATTTTTTTACAATTAAATTCTTAAATATTGCAAAATACACCAACAATCTTGAACTATAGATATTGTTACAATTGAATCAAAAAAATTTATATCAACTATTTTTCTTAAATTGAGATATCAACTTATCCTATTATAATATTGGTATGAAAACAAAAAATTTTTAATAATTAATATTATAGTTTTAAGTTTTATAGAGTTTCAAAAAATGGATTAAAATGATAAAAAATTCTATAGTTTGAAGGTTTGATGGTAAGGTAACCATCATTATAGTTCCATGATAATTTGTATATTTGGTAACATTTAAGGGTTTAAATCGTAAAAATTCGTAAAATTATAAGGGTGATTGATCACCTTGAAAGTTCAATTGTGATTACTATAACCTTGGTAATTTAGGGTAGTTTTTGCAATTTTTTCTTTTTTTCTTTTTATAATATTCTTCGATATTTTTTTTTCCTTTTTGTTTATTGTGTAGTGCTTTTTTCCTAAACACTTTTTTTTATATCATTTTCAAATTGTGAAGTGTAGAATTTATTCTCTTTGAAAAAAAAAATCTGAATTTCGTGATGTTTTTAGTGCTCACATCAACCATAGGTATAGTTTTGTACTGTTTTAGTTCAATATGACATTATAATTATTTACCTTTTCTCTTTTCTTACCATCTCTTAAAGAAAATAAAAAAAAAAATCTTAATCGTTGAACTATACGTTCATATTAGCGTAATTATTTGCATTACGATACATAAGTATCCCCAAAGAATATGAATATGACCCAAAAATAAGGCCAATCCACGTCCTTTCATTCTCCACTTCAACAACTTGGTATCAAAACTATTCCATATATAATTCCACTGCCTGCCTTATTTATTAATCACCAGTCACATTATTTGCGGTCGTTCAACTATTGTAAACGAAATCAAAGAAAAATGAAGCAAAAAAAAAAAGAAGCAATCAATAGATAGAGGAAGAAAAAGAAAGGGAGAAAATTCGAACCCTCTTAAAATATGAAAAACCGATGACTACTCTGAGCTCACCTAATGCATCGAGTTAATAAAAAAAGTAAAAGAACTTAGAGAAGATGAGTCTAAATTTCTTATTAAATCCTACTAATTTACTTGACAACTAAATATTGTAAGGTCCAAGATAACCACCCATCTCTAATATTAAAATCCTATAAGTTTGATAATCTTATAAGTTTACTTGACAATCAAATATCATCGGATCAAATAATTGTCCAGTAAAATGAGTCGTGACATGTAAATTGGTCCAGATACTCGTGGTAATGAGTAACTACCTGAAATTTTGGTTTCCCAAGGAGAAAGAAGTGAAAGTACATCTGTCAACCTGCAGTACTTCCACGTCCCTTACTGGGAAGCCAGAGATTGAGCTCGTCCATTGAGCCAACAAGAAGATRAAAAGAAAACAAAAAAATGAGTACACAACCACAACTGAACAGAATCACCAGACAACACCATTGAGAGGCAATAAAAGCTCTTCTTTTTCTTCCCTTTTTTCTCTCATAATAAGAGAGGAACTGTGAAGTGCACTTGAAATTGAATGCTTGTCAACAAGAACCACGTGCTTCTGGTCTTGCCATTTCATTGGCATCGAGGCACCATCCATAGAGATGAGTGGAGAATTGCAGTAATGGAGGAAAAAGATAACTGCACAGTACACCTTAATTAAAGAGAAAAGCACTGTAATAGGCATTCTTCTATGCAATTCTTTTTCCCTTTTGATTTCGGTTTTGGCCACCCTCTTGGGTACTAGAGATATTCGTTTGTTCTTACGAATGTTGCCGTAATCTAATGTATTTCTCATTCGACATTCTCTCTTACTAAATTCTTGTACTCGCCAGTGTTGAGGAAAGCTCTATTCGACCCAGAGCATTGATTCCCCATAACGAATAGGCTAGCTTGAGATCTCAATTGCCTATCCCAAGGTCCCCAGTTCCTCGAGGCACCTAAAATTTTCCTTGACAGGTCTAACATAGAAGAATTTCCTGTTCAGGTCACGGTGGTGCATTCTCAATAGGGATGTTCAGTGCGTACTTAACTTGTAACAATGGCGGTTATCATCGACAAACAAAAATTCGATTTTTGTAATTATTATCTGGTCGAAGTCCCCATTTATTTTTTATCTTGTTAGGTCGGTAGCCTTCATTTTGGCTAGGCTAAGGTTTTTATAAGGCTTCAATTTTTGTCATATACACGAGGGCGTGCACACACACATATAATATATATACGATAAAACCTACGGTAGTTCATATATATTTATGAATCCTCATGGTAATTCAAAACAAAGTATAACTCGTCAACCTAAACATAACTCAATTGGTTAAGACACTTATCTTCAGCTAAAAGGTGGTATTGAGTTCGAATCCCCGTCCTATACTAAAATAATAATAATAGTAATATATAAAATAAAAGCATAACTCAAAAACCACTTCTTTAAACCTCAAGGATCCATCATCCATGAACTCCATTCACTATAAACGCCTAAGCACCAATCTGAGACTTAAATTAGCCTGATTGAACATAACAGAAACCAAGGTCCATAATATTTTGATTCTTCTTGTAAAACACAGGACCGAAAACTATTTATATGCATTTACGAGAATCCCGTGCCATAACATGCGACGCACATGCGACAGACAGACGTAGAACCGTTGAAGGAGATGGATCCAATTCACTCAGCAACCTACCAACCACAAAAGTAAAAAGCAGGCACGCTTCAAAGCAAGAGGGAAAAACTAGAATAAACGTATTTGTTCTAATTTATGCATTAAGCTACCTGATTAAGAGGGTTATCAGGAGACTTCTTCCATAGCTTCCATATCATGTCCTTGTACTGATTGTGTGTAAGGCCAGGTTTCTCTTCCTTCAGCCTGGGGAGCTCAGCTTCTTCAAAAGCCTAATCATCATAACACCAGAGGGAAAAAAAAACTTTCAAGAACGGCACATTGAACGTTCATTAACAGAATCAAAGACTACATAACATAAAGAGGAGGCTCAGGAATCACCTCAAACAGATATCGACAGTTTATAAGAGACACCCCCAGTTAGTGTTTACTAAAGAAAGAAACAGTGCTTCTAAAAATTCCCCAGTTAGTGTTTACTAAGGAAAGAAAGAGTGCTTCTAAAAATCTGTGCATGTAGAGCACTTTTAACTCAGGCAGTGAACTCCGTACAGCAACTTGCCTAATCTGCCTCTCCTTTCCCTCATCATTCTGTTTCAATTTCATCTCCTTAAAAATGGCTTCACTTTTATTGAAGTCACTTCTTCCTTTGACATATCGCACAATTCCCAAAAAACCTTCCTACCTTCCAAGTTCAGCCCCGAGACCGAACAACTCCGATACAAATTTCATAAGAACTAAATAATTGGAATTGAAATTGTATTGAAAACTTTAAGAATAAGAAATTCAATAAAATATCTCAGGTGATTCGAGGAACTTAGATAACTGTCATAAAATTTGATAAGCATCAGAAAGGCCGGCCATCCAAAACACATAGGTGTAGAAAGCATGAAAATGTGAATAATGGCAGCTTTATATACTTTTATTCTCGATTTATTTATTTATATTTTGGTTGGAGGCAACAACGCAACAGCAATATCAATAAAACAAAGTCAACAACAGCATCTCTGGAAGATCCACGAGTAACTAGGTTAAGAATCAATGAATCATGACGCTGAACCAGACAAGTTAACAACAGGAACCATCATCATTAACATTCTGAAGATAAACAAATATCATATCAGAAATGAAGTGCAAGCAAAGGAGGGGAACAAGGAGAATGAATCGAATGCAAATGAGTTAAGGATAGACATTCATCTCAGCTATTTACAGAAGAGCCAAGAGCAGTCAACAAAAACTATTTTTGTCCGAATCATTCCAACTCCTCACATCACTCACCACTTTGACATATCCTAAGAGAAGTAGCAACACATGTCAAGTTACATAAACTTGTGATTACTTATGTAATAGCAAGTGACAGAGATGACTGATACAATGCCTACTCACAAAGAAGATAGATTTCAAAATTTAGTAACAGTTCTACTAGGCTTCCCAATTTCCAATTCAAACAACCATGAACAATATTGAGAACAAGATAACATGTGCATTGCATTCATATGACCAGAATGTAAACAGCACTATTTAAATGGCTAACGAAGCTTCTATTTATGTGATTCCAAGTTGATCCTGGAATAAGCTTCAATAACCCAATATTCCGCTCAACATATAGTTTCCAGATATTAATTTTAATGCGTCCAAAACTAAAATTTTCCATAGCACCAAAAGACACTAAAATGCCAGCCTCCAATTACCAGTTAGAACTATGAGAACTATAGAGACAAACCTTCTAAACTCCCAATCCAGCATAAAGGAAATTTTCTTAACTTAAAATTCTCGTTAAAATTTCCAGTTGAAAATCCTACGGTAACAATAAGTTCCAACAAAAAGGATTCTACCATCAACACACCAAAATTAACGAGATAACAAACAATCAATCAAGGCGATGTATATGTTCCGTCTATGATTCAATAGTACAAGGAGAACAAGTCGCACCTTAAATGAGGCCTTGAGCCTTCGCTCTGGATGCCGGTCCACAGGCAAATTATCCGTAACAGATATTTGAGCGATCGCGTCCTCCACCGTCCTGGCCTCAATAATAGAATCGTCCCGATTAGTATTGTTGACGAGCACCATCCTCTCGTACTCCTCCTCCGCCGCCGTCCGACTCTGCATTTTCTTCGCCTCCTCGACCTTCCTCTGAAGCTCAGCTTGCTCCTCCTCTCTGCGCCTCCTCAATTCAACTTCCGTGACCTTGGGGACCGGAATCGAAACCCTAGTCGCCTTTTTGTCGGGCTTCTTCATGGCTTTCTCAAGTTCCTTATCCTCCTGCTCGGCCAGGCGGCGAATCTCCGCCTTGCGAGCCGCAGCCTCAGCACGCTTCTCAGATTCATCCTCCCGCTTCTTGGCGGCGCGAGACTTGGGACCCTCAGCTTCGCGCCAGTACTGATCCACCTTCTCCCGATTTTCCCGATCCTTGCGCTCGACCTCGACTGCGCTCTTGCGTGCTCTCGCCGCCTCGGCCTTGCTGTTTACCCCCATCTTCTTCGGCATGGTTGCCGTTCAGGTCTGAAATCGTCTCCGGCGAGGGCGACGATGGAGATCCGATTGCGAGAAATCGAGGATTCTACGGCTTCTTCTAAGAAATAAGAATAATTGCAAAAACGAAACATCTGGCTGAAATAAACATTGCCTGTAACTATAAGTTTCAATATTGCAATAATAGATAAAAGTGAATAATCTTTGACAATTAAAAATGCTTTTTTATTTCTTTTACCGAGCCGAGCCAGTGGTTAAGTTACCTATCTATGACGAAAAGGTCATGAGATCGAACCCCCACCTCACATGTTGTATTAAAAAAAAATTGGATAAAAAATGCTTAATTTACTCTTCAAAGCTTCAATATATATATTTTTTTAATACAAGAAAGCTTTCATTACCATCCTATAATTTAAGAAATTTTGGATGGTTTGAGTTCAATAGAAATGATTTGTGACACCCTCAAACCATAAAGGTCAAGTCATCAAATTGAAATTAAGTTTAAAGTTCAAACCATGAGAACTAATTTGAAACTTTTAAATATATAGAGATCAAATAAAAATTTTGTTCCAACCATAGAGACTAGATTTATAATTTAACTTAATTTTTTAATTTGTTGATTAAAAATTTATTATTGAATATTTCGTAAAGTAAATTACTTAACATTTGAAAAGTTAACGAGAAGATAAACGTGAGTTTGAATTTTAAAAAATGGTGTTTAATAAAACTTGAATTTTAAAATGTATTTAATAGATTTTTGTACTTCTATTTTTTTAATAGGTTTTTAAATTTTAAAATTGAATAATATATAATAGATTTGTAGATTTTAGGAGAGGAGTTGAACATTTTTCTCACAATTTTTTTCCTTTGTACAAAAAGGGCTCACTATTTTGTTGAGTATTCATGCAAATTTAGTTAAATTATTTTTGTAATGGGAAGGCTTTGACTGTCACGTACGAATTCAGAATGGTCAAGGAGACGTAATGGGTTGAGCCTGGATAGTCCAGGCCCGGCTCTTCCATATGGGCTATGGTGCGCAATTGGACTGCAAACTATTTGGGCTCCAAATAAGCCCATGACAAGCAGGAAAATCTTTTTAGGCCCGAAACTAAACAAGTTTCTCCCATGAACTAGCGGCGCAGCCGATTCGGTTCGGTTTTCCAACCAAAAAAAGAAAAAAAAAATCAACAGAAAAAGGAAATGCGTAAAAAAAAAAATATATATATATATTTCTAAAGCTGTGTGGTAACTGTTTCTAGTTTCTCCGTTTCTCCATTTTTCGTTTTCTTTTTCAATTAAGAAAAATAAAATTGCATTGGTAACTATTTCACTCTCTAAAATTTTAAATGTTAAATTAAATTGTTATATTATGTTTATTTTTTTTATATTTATTATATATTTTATAAGTAAAAGTAATAAAATAATGCTTTTATCTATGTTTTGAAAAGAAAAAAAATTAGAAACATGGATAAGAAATAAGAAACTTGATTTTGTTATTTTCAATTGAAAACGTATCTTGCCAATGATAAATGAGAAATAGAACAATTATCAAATGCTTATGTTTCTCAAATATTAAAAATGAGGAGAAAAAGGAGAATTGAGAACATTATCGTTTTTAAGCTGCACTTAGCATTGGAAGAAAAAAAAAGAAAAATAAATTTTACTTAAATTCAAGGAGTAGGTTCAACATATAATGATCTGACCATAACCATATTGAATTAATTACAAGCTAAA